AGCGAGACCGCCCCATCCCTGACATTCATAACAACATCCATTACATTTACATTAGTGTTCAAATGTAAGGGATGGATAAAGGACTATGAACATAATAAGTAAAAGGGATTTAGATATAAGGAAGGGGAAAGGTATAAGTATAAAAAAAATCAGGGTGGGTGTGATTATATAGTCATCCATCAATCTACTTATCAATCTATCTATCTGAACCGTCCATATATATATATCGGCTCTATTTATCGCCATATTTTTCCTTCTCTTTTCCCCCAGAAGGTAGGAAAAATGTGTTCAAGAGTTTAATGATCTTGTTTAAATTTCCATATTTTTATTCGTAAAAAATTTTTAGAACACTTCTATCTTTTCTTCGAGGGAAAGATAAAACTAATGGTAAAATTTGAAATTTTTATTATTGGAGGCACTGTATTGCTTATTATTCATATCATATCTTTACTATATTAATAAAACAAATGTCCAAGGAGAGGACATATTGAAAGATTTTTATCTCTATTAATTTTGTATCAATCTTTTCATGTTATAATTTAGTTTACCCGCACTTGGTCTTAAATTTAAAAAAATTATAAAAAAATTGTGCTTATGTCACCCCTGGGGTGCCTATGGGTTCCCTAAACAAAATGTCAGCCAATTTGGTCCAATTCCGTTTGACCGGCTTTAGCTTTATTATATAGTTTTATATAACTTTCAAACAGAAAAATGCTATAATCTGCAAAAAAATAATGTCGACGGTGAAACAAAAATGAGATAAATAAAGTTTATCGAAATAACAAATGATAAGTACGACCAAACAAGGATATTAAGTGTTATGAAAATTTGATAAAATCCACCAAGGTCCAAGGTCCGCTGCAGGGTGGAGTGAATGCAAAACGACGCGGCAAATGCATCAAGAGGAGAAAAAAATGGCGCACTCTTGTTTGTCCGATACGGAAAAGTTTTTAAATTCAAGTGTTCAGGATAGATATTTGGTTACAAGATAACAAGGCCCTGGACATACTATATTCTATAGTGAATAGGATAGGGTTTAATTGGTGGTATTGATTACACAAAAGGGAGTTAACGCTTAATTAATATTTGATGAATAAAGTTTTTATAAATTGTTTATAATAAATAACTGATTAAATCATGCATGAAATATTATGAATAAATTAACAACTTAAAGAGACTGACTACTTAAATTCACGTGACCATACGGTAAACTAGGGGTCCAGAGCTGGGAACTTTAGATAATAAGGCTAGGAAAGTTATTTGCTGTTGTGTAATTTATGCGTAAACAATAATAGATGCATTAGTGTTACTGTAGTATCCGAGGAGGATAAAAGCATTTAATTTTGATAATTTTCATAGTTCACAGAATAGTTTTCTATGGCCAGAATATTTCATTGATTTTTTATATTAAAGATGGATCCCATGTCAGGCTGTAACATTCATCTTGTGTTTACTTTACCACACAGATTAAATATTTTAATCAACGAATTTGATTCTTGGAAATTTAATAAAACATTAAATGCCAGCGCCAGATTTTTTTGTTTTCTTGACCAGACTTAATTTATCATCCATTTATTTATCAATACATTAGTCAAAATTAGTTTAAAAAAAGAATCTCGAACGTATTTTTACATATTTTTCTTTACCGATAAATTTACAAAATGGCCGACAGCAAATTCTTTATTTGTTAGAAATTGCGGATTTCTCTCATTGGATAGAATTTATTTTAAAGACTGTCATTGGTCAATACAATTTACGAACTATATATTCCTGCACTCTCGTTATAGAAAACAATGTACGGACATTCAAAGAGAGAGAAAAAGAGTGGATTAAGGACTAAAATAAAAAGTTTCCACAGTGGATATTCGAATTAAGCGAGGGATGGAAGTCAACCTCCCCGCACAACTTCCGAACCTCATTTTACCTATTTGCGGCAGTGCGCGTCCCCAGAGGGCTTCCGAACCTCCCCCAAACAGTCTTCCGCGGGAAGGATCTTCCATTTATAATCGTCAATTAGCGCCTGATCCAATCAGGGTTCAGTCATGTGTTTGGTGTCTATTCTGAACCAATAGAAATTGCATGGCAGTATCATCTATCTTTCTATCTATCTCATCTATTTTTTCAATTATATGTCGAAATTTCAACCTTTAAATGATAATTTTTCAGCAAAATTGCACAAAAGTGATATTTTTTCGCGCAAAAATGTAAGGCAACGAAAGAAAAAATAAACGCTTTCTTTCGCAAAAATTGCGGAAAAGTTTTGCAAATGGAAATCCTACTTTGCAGACTTGTTTAGGAACTAATTTCCCTGCACTATACAGAGGTGATAGTGGGGGGTAGGGGCAGCAATTCGAATAGAATCGTTTAATTTAAAACTTTGTTGTTAAATTAACAAAACTTTTTTTCGAAAGAAAAGTTTTTCATAAAAGAACTCTGGTGAGAAAAATGTCACACACTGAAGAATATGATAACGTTTACTATTACTTTCAAAATCAAACATCGATATTGATTTTTTAAATGCAGGGGAAAAAATAGTTTTTGGCAAAATAATTTGAGGAATCAAAAAATTAAAGTTTGAAATATCAAAGGTTTATAAACCATCCATCAGGTTAAAACTATATATAACAATAAACTATGAGAATTTGGGTTTCTTGCAAAAACTCAGTTCCTTTATGACTCAGATATCTAAAGGTTCCGCTCTTGTGCCAGCAAGCTGTAATTTTCGATCCCAATTTCACCATCGAAACATAACATTTTCGTTTATACTTTTTTGTTCCCGCTGCGTATAGGAATAAAGTTTACATTAAGACACCTCTGAAAGTTTAAAGATTGTTGAAGTATAGAAAAAACAGAAGAAACCGAATACGCCTCAGAGAGATCCAATAGTTTCAAGCAAAATTATATCTATGAGAATTATGCCTATTATGCCAGCTACTTCTTAAAAACTACAGCTGAAAACAAGTTCTAAAATGTTTTTATGTCTAGGGCTGCAAAAATGTACAACTCAGTTACTGAGGTAAAATTAAAGGAGTTGCAAAAATGCTCCCGATCCCGCCTTAAAAATTGATGCAACTTTTTATAGCAACCTAGATCTCAGCGGGTAAGTCGACGCTACTGAAGGGCATTGTTTTGACTCCGTTTTAAAGTTTTAAGGCTTTTTTAAAAGCTTCTGAATCTGAATCTGTGATGCAAATTTTATTTTTAAATTGCTGCTGTAGACATGTTTGCTTTTATTACAGAAAGCAAAGTTTTTACTCTGATTAAAGAAATTAACCAAAACGATTTTCAAAATGGAAAACGATTTTACTAATTGTCTTGAAAAATCGCTTTGGTCAATATCTTTAATCAGAGTAAAATTTTGACTGTTTTAAAACGGGATAAAAGGATGTTCTTCAGTCCTGGGTGAAACGTTCGGAAAAGAATGGGAGGAGGATGAGAGAGAAGGGTTGGAGGATGGTTTAAGGAGAGGATGAAAATGTGAGCGAAGGCGCATATTTATTTCTCAGTAGATTTCTAATCTCTGGTACAGGAGGCCGACAATTTAGGAATTTATCCAACTATACTTTACAAACCATCAACACCACCGTCTCAGGTAGAAACAAACAAATGAGGGTGTAAGTGTAATTTCAAATGAGCCTCCATCAAGGATGGCTATGTCCGATTCGCAAAGGTACCTTTGATACCTTTATCTGATTGAAAATATGGAAAAAAGTTGTAGTTTTTGTAATTCAAAAGTGTTTATTGCTGATAAATCCTTTATTTATTTTTTCAGTAGAAATGAGCAATTGACATTTGTAGTTAAACAACAATTGAAAATAATCAGCTTTAAAAAAAACAAACATTGAAATTTTTATTTCATACTTGTTCATACTAAGTTTTTAGGGGTCCTGAGAATCGGGTATTCCCATTTTTGCATGGAGGGCCACTTGAAATTATACCTGCAGTCCCTTACAGTGCCATACGGTCCCTTACAGTCCCTTACGGTCCTAATTTTAAAAATGAGCATTGACTACTACTTATAAACTGACAAAGGATAAAAAGGAATGTTGTATTTTTAATAAAATTCTAATGTTAGAACTGTTAAAAATTTAAAACATTTTTATAAAGCGAATGATTTATGCACATATTAAAACCATTTAGCCGAAAACTGAAAGACAATCAATTACTTCTCCACAGGAATTGAGTCTTTTCCACAAACTCTGATTTTCTGATCCCTTTGCAACCCAATGTTGTTAACCTTAAATATTTTAAAGTTCAACTTCTGTTAGATCAAATAATGTAAGTTTGAAATGAAATATCATAAAATCAGGAACCAGATTTAATGAATTTGATCTACGTTACTGAATTACTTACTGCCGGTTTGAATTTAAACCACCAAAAGATTAAGGAAGGATTTTAATCGTTGATTCAAATTCGAGATTTAATGAAAAGGATGAAACAGATTTTTGAGAATAGCCGCAGCGCTCGGCCGCTTTAAGTCAGCTACCCCAAAATTAGGATTAATCTTTAAAAAATCTTCTTTAAATTGTCATTTTTTAAAAGATTATCGACATTTTCTGGGCGTGCACTCCCTCCCCTTTCTTTCTTTTAGTTTTGAAACTGATGCTTTTAATTTTTATTCTCTGAGATTTTTCTATTTGGATAAATTAAAAAATTCTGCAAAACTAGTTTCCCATCATAATAAAAATAATAAAACTTAGAAACAAATCCAGAGTTAACAATTTCAAGAAACTGAAAAATCTAAAATTTTGTTTCTTTTTAGATATTATTTGATTCTTTCATTCTTGTTGAATATAAAAATGTTATTTCAGTAAAGGTTGTATTGATATGTTCACCTTTTTTTACAGAATTTAGAGTAAGACGTAAATCTGAAGCCGGACCTGAACCTAAACCTGAACTTAAATCTGATCCTGAACCTGAACCTGAAAACTGAACCTGTACCTGAACCAGAACCAGAACCTGAGCCTGAACCAGAACCTGAGCCTGAACCTGAACCTGAACCTGAACCTGAACCAAAACCTGAAAGCTGAACCTGAACCTGAACCAGAACCTGAACCTGAAAGCTACACCCAATGAATAGAACTGAAGAAGATCTCGGAATTGATTCCTCAATTAACGTTGAGGAAGAAATTAACAAAATCATTCAAACTTTCCAGGTATTAAATATTCTTTAAATATTTACTCTCTTTAAAGGGACTGTACTCTCTTTAAAGGGACTGTACTCTCTTTAAAGGGACTGTACTCTCTTTAAAGGGACTGTACTCTCTTTAAAGGGACTGTACTCTCTTTAAAGGGACTGTACTCTTTTTAAAGGGACTGTATTTCTCTTTAAAGGGACTGTACTCTCTTTAAAGGGACTGTACTCTCTTTAAAGGGACTGTACTCTCTTTAAAGGGACTGTACTCTCTTTCAAGGGACTGTACTCTCTTTAAAAGGACTGTACTCTCTTTAAAGGGACTGTACTCTCTTTAAAAGGACTGTACTCTCTTTAAAGGGAATGTACTCTCTTTAAAGAGCCTGTACTCTCTTCAAAGGGAATGTACTCTCTTTAAAGGGACTGTATTTCTTTACAAGGACTGTTCTCTCTTTAAGGGGACTGTACTCTCTTTAAGAGGGACTTTAGACGTAAATTTAAGTGACCCTCATGTAATGAAGTGGCATGCACGAGTAAACAATGTATATATTTTACATGATTAGGCTAGAAAAATAAGGATATATCCGTCGTCTTATATTAAATATCTGATAAAGGGTACTGCTGTAAATCGGACATGCCACTTTAAACAATTTTAAATAACGTTTATATCACTTAAACTTTGTAGAACTATGCATAATGGATCAATACTAATTGAACCCTTAAAAAGATTTTTAATTTAAATGGATTGAAAAACGTAAATTAATTGGGTTTTAGTTTAAAAAGTGCCATGAACATTTTATAACTGGAAAAATATCAATTTCTTATCATTCAAAAAGTTGAGAACTAGTTTTTTTAACAATCGGTCCTTTCCACAGTAAGCTGTGGCTTTTGATCATAATTTGACCGATAAAACAAAATTTTTTCTCTTCAATTATTTTTTGTCGGCGAATGCGTTAAAAATGAAAAAGTAAAAAGATTTTTAATTTTAGACAAAAACTAGATTGAAAATTAAAATACCTATCATATCTCGCCCTTGCTTCGTCCAGGATGGACCGTTGTGGTTTTGTTTAGTGTCAACTCTCCAATTAAAATTAGATTATAAAGTTTCAAAGATAATGAAATGTTTTTTTTTGTTACAGTGTGTCCCACGAAACATGACAGTTGGTGAATAAAATTTAAAATGTCTTCTTCCATAATTAGTTTTGTTGTTTGATAAAAAAGAGAATGATAAAACATAAATTATGTTGATCTTTTGTAATAAAAATGATTTCAAAGTAAAATAAATTTAAGGAAAAAATGTTTTTAAAACGAAATAAACTGCAAAAAGTCTTAAATTTCAATAAAATATTGGGAAGAAGACATTCAAAACTATTGACTAACTGGGACACCCTGTATTTTTTTTATAATGTCTCTGTTAGCCTTGAAGTTGATATTTATTACGAGAGTAATGCCTTTGATATTTTTTTCAAATCTTTTAAATTTTTCAAATTTTTCAAATTTTTCAAATTTTTAATTTTTTAGACGGACAACGTGGTACTTGATAAACCTACAAGAATAATATGTATTATTCTCTACACCTGTATATTCTCTTGTTCAGGTAAACACAGCATAATATTAAAGGAACAGTTTGCGAGAAATAATTTAAACTTAAAGAGGCAGTTTCCGAGAATTATAAACACTTAAAGAAACATTTGCTAGAAATGATTAAGTCTTAAAGGAACAATCTGCTTATAATCATAAAACCTTAAACGAATAGATTGATAGAAATGAATAAAAAAAGTTTGTTGCAAATATAATAAACTTAAAGGAACAGTTTGCAAAGCGACAGTTAGCAAAAATTGCAAGTTTGCAAGAATTGATAAGATTTAAAGAAGCATTTGTTAGAAATTATTAAGTCTGAAAGGAACAATACGCTAAGAATTTTAAACCTTAAAGGAGTAGATCGCTAGAAATGATTAAAACTTCTATTAATAATACAACCTTAAAGGAACAGATCGCAATGATTAAAACTTTTTATTAATAATAAAACCTTAAGAAACAGTTTACTAGAAACAATTTAAACATAAAGAAACAGTTTACTAGAAATAATTTAAACATAAAGAAACAGTTTACTAGAAATAATTTAAACATAAAGAAACAGTTTACTAGAAATGTTAAAGGAGGAGTTTCCCAGAATTTAATCTTAAAGAGACAATTTTCTAGAAATGATAAAAACACAAAAGCAATATAATGAAAATTGTAACTGTAAAATTAAGGCAATCGATTCCAGCTTTAATTCAGATTCGAACAATATATCTAGGCAACCTGTGTCCGAATTTAATGAATTTAAGCCGCGTCTTAAATCCGCCAGAAACCGGTTTCAATTGAGCGCCGGCTTAAATCTTGAAACATTGAATGCAATTTTAAGTGAAACCAACTATATTTGAGCGGCGGTTTAAATTTAAGCCGCCGCTCAAATTCTTTAAATACGGTCTCTGATAATTGTGAAGCTTTGATACTCCAAAGGAATTGAGTTTTTGCAACAAACTCAAATTTCCCAATCCCTATACCTTTTTCAACCTAAAAGTGTAAACCTTAGATATTTCAAACTTGGATTATATGTTCTATCAGAATTCATAGTTTGAAATATCAATGGTTTTCGACATAAGCTTGCAGATATATAGGGATTAGAAAATCAGAGTTTGTGGCAAAAACTCAATTCCTTTAGGTAATTTGATCTAAGAACTATGGGTATGCAACGGCTTGGATTGCAAAAATATAGGGATTATAAAATCAGAGTTTGTGGTAAGGACTAAATTCCTATGGGCATTTTGAATGACTCTCTCAAGAAATATTAATTTCCGAGTTGACATTTTCTTTAATTTGTTTGTTTATGTTGATTTAATATTTGTAATTAAATGTTAATTTCCGAGTTGACATTTTCTTTAATTTGTTTGTTTATGTTGATTTAATATTTGTAATTAAATGGCGAGTAAATAAGAAAAGGTTTCATGAGAGAATTACAAGGATTTACGACAAATTAAATGAAAATCCGTTATATAGATAATTAATAGTATCACGAGAAACAGATCTCATAACATAACTTAAAAAGAAGAAGGACAGGGGGAACCAGAAAGGAATTGAGTTTTTGCCACAAACTAAAATTTTTCAATATCTTGGCAACCTTTGTTATTTATTTGATCTAACAGAATTCAAAGTTTGAAATATCTAAACTCTTCCATATTGGGTTGCAAAGATATAAGATTAGAAAATTAGAGTTTGGGGCAAAGACTCAAATCCTTTGTTTCCAAATTAGAGAAACATTTAAAATTTTAAAAAAAATGATTACTCGCCTTCTAGTCCTTATATCTTTGCAGCCAGATGATACTGTGAACTGTCTATTCTGCGAAGTCAAGAAGTAAAAGTTTAAAATATCAAAGGTTAACAACGTTAGGTAGCAAAGATATAGGGATTAGAAAATTAGATTAGATTAATTTAGATTAGAAAAACAAACAACAAATTTTCACACTTTAATATCTAAAGGGTTGTTTTTTTATCAATCATTAATTAATATTGCAAACAAACTGTTTTCAAATAAATTGGAAAGTAATTTAAAGGAAAACTTGAACTTGGTTTCCGAGTTTTTAGAATATTCCAAAACTTTTTAGCAACTGAACTTTTCTTATATTATTTATTGGAATTGAGTCTTTGCCACAAACTCGGATTTTCTAATTCCTTTATCTTGGCAACCCAATGTCATAGACCTTAGATATTTCAAACTATGAATTCTGAATTTGTGGCAAAGACTGAATTCCTTTATGAACAGAATAAAAATTCTTCATATTTTCAACTAAATGTTCTACATTTCGAGAAAAATGTGTTATTTTTCGATCAAAATATTCTTTATTTGAATCAAAATGTTTTATTTTTCGAAAAAATGTTCTTAATATCGATCTAAAAGTTTGTATATTTTTTGTAAAATGTTCTGTATTTCGAACAGTATTAAGATTTCTTTTAATATCGTAGGATATTAGAGGATTTTAATCAAACCCATATCAGGTTTCAATGATACTTCTGAACAGTAAATTGCAGAAAATAATCTGAAATGATTTCCCTGATTTCCGATATTCTCTATTTTATGTAATTCCAATTTTATAAAAAAAATTTAAAAAACACTATCTGAAGTGCCCGGAGATTTTAAAAAATCAATGTTACCCCCAGGGTACCCATAAGTTTCCTCAAACTATTTCAGTCAATTTGGTACAGCTATAGCTAGCATATTCACCCTAATACATATAGAGTGAAAAGCTTCAATATATAGATTTCTTAAATAGTTTCTCATACCTAAAAACAAACACGCTGAATCAATTTTCAGAATATAGAAACACGTACCACTGAACCAAAGATAGAATATATACATTTTTGTTATGATAATGTGCACTGCAGACTGGAAACTGATTTAGTTTGGTAACCGCCAAAAAAGTTCACTGAAAAAAATCCCGTGGAAAAAGTACTATGGAAAAAAGTCCTGTGGAAAAAAGTCCCGTGGAAAAAGTCCTGTGGAAAAAATTCCGGTTGAAAAAGTCCTGTGGAAAAAAAGTCCTGTGAAAACAGTCCTGTGGAAAAAGTCCTGTGGAAAAAAGTCCTGTGGAAAAAAGTCCCGTGGAAAAAGTCCTATGGAAAAAAGTCTTATGGAAAAAAGTCCTGTTGAAAAAAGTCCTTGAATTAAGAATTTTCTGGAATTAAAGTTTTACCATTTTGAGACTTTATTTTCAATATGAAGATGCATAGAAGAAAAGTCCTTTTATGAAATCGTCTAAGACTTGACCTCATTTTCCCAAGCCTTAGGGCTTTTTTCTTAAGGACTTTAATTCATGTGATCCAATTTTTTAAGACTTTATTGCCAGCCCCCATATTATTATAGAAAAAAACGTCCCAGGAATTTATACCTCAGTACTCAATTTCCACTGATATTTTATCTTAGGACTTCAGAAAATTGAGATTTTTTTACAAACGTTTTTATTTTTAGGTTTTATTTCCGGGGACTTTTTTCATGTGACTTTCCTACCTTTCCTACATAGATTTTTCAGTTCCTGGGAGGTTGTTTAAGAAGCAGCACTAATGTTCTATTTCTATATTTTAAAAATAGTAGTTTCTACTCACTGTTTGTTTGTCAGTTTGGATGTCTGATAATAACTTTTGAACCCCTTGAAAAATTTGTCTCACATTTTGATTTGGGTACTCAGCAGAACCACATAATTGTTGTTTACTTGGTTTTAAAATTCTAAGTTGATTGGGTCGACTTTTATCGGAAAGCACCAGCCAGAGCAGGGTTTCCATGTCTTCTATTTAATAAAGCTCTATGCTTATATAAATATATTTTGTATATTTATATATTTGTGTATTCGTATTGAAATTCATTTTTTAAATTAAAAACTTTCCAACAACTTTTTTAGCATATTTTACCCCCAGAAGACCCATGGGTTTCCTCAAAAAACTTCAGCCCATTCGGTCTAGCCGTTTGGCCGGCTATAGGGAACATGTATACGCACATTTTGTTTTATTATATAGATACATATTTTTTTTAAAGGAAAAATTTCTACTTAATGTGAAAACAGCAGAGCCTTGAATCCTAATAGCTTAACAACGGCAGCCAGAAAACACTGTAACGAAAAAATGAACAATAACGACTATATAACGCAACTAGTTTTTCCTGTTACCACTGTATATGATAGAAAACTTGCTTCTATTTACCATTATTTAGAATTAGGTTAACTAGAATCCATGAAACTTGATAGTGAACTCTCTTTTCTCTATTTGCAGGGGACATCAGTTTCAAAACTGACACTTGGCCTATATCTAACACTGAGTGTGTCAATTTTGGAACTTATGTTCCCTGAATTGGTACTTTGTTACAACATTCAAATTTTTGAACGACATTAGTTTCATCAGTCTGGCTCTCCTATAGTTATACCGTTTAAAATAAATCTTAAACTGTCACTATTTCTGAGTCCGAATTCAATGAATTTTAGCCGCTTCTTAAATCCGTCATAACCCGGTTTCAATTGAGCGCCGGCTTAAATCTTGAAACATTGAATACTATTTTAAGTGGAACCAACTATATTTGAGCCGCGTCTCAAATTTAAGCCGCGGCATAATTCATTATATTCGGCCTCTGATTTTCCAATTGTCTAGCTTCGAAATATCTTTTTTGTAAAAACAACACTTCAGAAAGATCTTCCATTTATTAAATTCTGTTTTTATGATATCAAAGATCAAAAGCGAGTATTATAGAAGCCTGGAGGACAGACTCTAATAAAAGAGGCTGGGCTGGATCAGTATCTTTATTATATCTTAAAAGTATAGCATTATCAAAAACAGTTCTCTCAGATCACACGAGGAATCAATTAAATATATTTGGTTTGGTTTCAAGATGTGGAAATATCGTCTTCCACATTAATATTCTTGGTATATTTTACATAAAAAGAAAATATACAACATTTTTTTTAAAATCAGACCACCATCTAGAAATCACATCGCAAGTCAAAACTAACTGTAAACTCCAGTTCATTCCAAGTACCGGGTCTACTTCTAATCACCTAGAGCTGTACAATATAAATATGTAAGGAATAACAGGACAGTGAATCAAAGTAAAGATCCCCTACAAGTGGAATTTATGTGAACTTTCTCCTTCTGAAAGTTCAAGAATGCCGCGTCGATTAAAGACGAATTTTTATCCTCGTCTTTCTCTTGTAGTTTTGCTGAACCTGCTGGTGGTGGTGGGTGTAACGAGGAGGAGGGAGATGAGAACAACCAGGAATATTTTTATCCTCCAGCTCTCATTGGCCGACCTCCTACTCGTCCTCACTCTACCCTTCACCCTCACTGACGTCCTCCATAGGAAACCAGACACATTTAAAAAATTTAAAAAGGATAATTGCAAAATTGAAAACCCATTTAAAACAGCAAAAGTTGACATATGAGGATGTATAAAATGTCCCCCCCCCCTCCAACATATAGTTTTACTGTAAGATCGTTTTTGTGTCCCAGACTTCTCAGGGCTTCAGAAAAACGAAGTTCGAAGTGTCCCATGACAGTTTCAAAATGACTTAAAGGTCGTCTTTGAAATAGTTGCGTCTTTTATACGTAAACCTAATTTAGAGGTAAAATTATAGAGTTAATAATCACAAAATACCACTTGTCCTCGAATTTCCAAAATGTGGTCAACCCTTTTTTTGTACTTTCATTATTACTGGAGTTACAGGGTGTCCCACGAAACATGACAGTTGGTGAATAGTTTGGAATGTCTTCTTCCATATACTGTATTACATATTAAAGACTTTTCGCAGTTTATTTCGTTAAAAAATTCTTTTTCTCAAATATGTTTTACTTTAAAATCAAATTTACTATTTTATGAATGCAATATAATGTTTTTTATTATTCGCTTTGGTATCAAACAACTTAACAAATTATGGAAGAAGACATTTGAAACTATTTACCAACTGTCATGTTTCGTGGGACACCCTGTATGATGGATTTTGTTCAGAATTCGATATTACTTGTTTTATTTAATAACTTGAAATCTTAACGAAGTTCTAAATAGATCCGATAATTTTGATAGGACAATGCCAAACCACATTTTAGAAATTTTAGTAATATTATTTTTGACGACGACCTTCAATATGACTTGCTACTCTTATTTTTTGTGGGACACCCTGTGAACATTTTTATTTTTTTGTATGAAAATTAACTTAATGAGTTAAAAATTACTGCTGATTCATTTTTAGAAATAAAGCGCATAAAGTCAAAGTGAATCCTTCAGATTTATTCAATTAAAGTTTATTTTAGATGTTAAGCGCTTAATGGACGAATTAAATTAATTCCATTAAAATATTTTATCCTCGGAGTCATAGAATTCATTTTTTTTCTTTAGTTTCTCAGGATTTGTTTAAATACTTCAAAAAAAAGGTTGAAAACGCATGGGGAATTTGCCAATTGTTTACATTCTCCTGTGACGTATTAGGACAGCTCAGGAACTAGTTTTATTGTAAACAAACATCCTTTGTAACTTTTGAATGCCTGAATTCTATCAATGTTTTTTAAAACAATTATTTAAAAATTTCTTTTATAGTCTAAAAACGTCATTGCAGTCTACTGTAAACAATCCTATAAAATTATTTTTAAATTAACCTATCCTTGGTGTCAATTTTAACATTCTTTCTGGTTTGAATTCAGGACCTGGATATTAGGGAACAGTCCTTTTCTCTGCAGGTAATATTTAATATTTTTTTATGATTAAAGGAAGATTTTTTTTAATTGGATTTAATTTGAGGGCACCAGACAAGAATGGACAGAGCGCTGCGTCTAACCGCAAAAGTCTGTTTCATGTACCTCCTAAGAAAATATGAGGAAATTAAAGTGATGTGTATAGACCCTTGATTTTGTGCCTTGCAACCTGATGATGTGAACTTATGATATATCAAACTTAGATTATTTGAAGAAAAAAATTAACAGTTTAAAATATCTAAGGTTGATGACATTGGGTTGCCAAGATATAGGGATTAGAAAATCAGAGTTTGTGACAAAGACTTCACTTTCCTTTATTTTTGGGCACGGTNCACAGTACCCCCATAGTACCCCACAGTTCCCCACAGCACCCCACAATACCCCAAAGTACCCCGCAGTACCCAACAGTACCCAACAGTACCCTGCAGATATGGGGATTACAAATTGGCGTTGTTGCCATCCTTCCCTCCATTAAGTGGTCAGCTGATTAGTATTAAACTAGCTTTTTTGTCCATGAAAATAGTGCAAAACTATAAAGAAAACATCCTTAGAAGTGCTTACCTATATTTTTTTATTAAAAAAAAAATTCTGTTTGGTTTCTGTACCCCCTCCCCCCAGTAAAGCCCAGTACTTTGCAGTACATTGTACCCTAAAGCACTCTGTATTCCCTGTTACAATCACTTTCCATTAAAAGATTTTCGAATTAAAAATTGGTGTTTTTGCCATTCCTCCCTCCAATTAATCATCAGCTGTTTAGTTTTAAACCATCAACATAATGTCTTTTATACTGTTTTACACAAAAGGTTCTTTAAGATTCGAAACCTCCCCAAACACTTGTACTCCGATAGCGTACTGCTTACTTAATGTGTACTGCAAGAATAGGCTGTATATCGTATATCGTATATTAGTAAACCGTCTTAAGTGTACACTGAAGCTGAATAGCTGCCCAGTAGTCCACTATCATCCCCCCTGGGAAAACTAATTGAAAATGAATGAAAAATGGATGGAAAATGAATAGAAAATGAATAGAAAATGAATAGAAAATGAATAGAAAATTAATGGAAAATGAATAGAAAATGAATAAAAATGAATGGAAAAAATGGATATTTATTGAAAGTAAATGGAAAATTAATATTAAGTGAATGAAAAATGAATTAAGAATGAATGGAAAATAAAGGGAAAATGAATGGAAAACATGGGTATTCGTAAAGAAGCACTTTATATGGAAAACAGATCAAATTTACTTTAAAATAAAATTGTTATCACATTTGATAAAAATTGAAACCTAACTCTGTTTGTTTAGAATATTCGATCAAATGAATATTCAGAATTAATTTAGTTTACCTAAATAAAAAATTGCAAACTATAATCATCGATTTTTTTCGACGCATTCGTAAAAATTTGATATTTTATAATATATTTTATTTTTTATGATTCGAGATACTTTTGAAAACAGTCATTCTTGTTTCGAGGATTTTTGTTAATGAAGACGATATTTTCATATTTTACAGGAATGTTCAAAAATATTGTAAGAATCTGGTGTTTAGACTGACAAAGACTGTACCTCTAGTAGCAGTATTCTGTTCCTCTATCTCTATAATGGTTATAGCGGTGGATAGATATATTGTCATCACGAAGAACTACACAAGAAAGGTTTAAGTTTATCTTTTTTTTTAATTATTTATAATTTTTCTCACTTTTCTTCCTTTCCCCCAGCCCCATATTCCACTTTCCTTTCTGGACCCCCTTATTTCACTTTTCTTTCTTTACCCCCTATTACACTTTCACCACTATTCCCCCTTATTTTACATTCCTTTCTTTCCGCATATTCCACTTTCCATTCTTTTTCCCCTTATTCCACTTTCCTTTCTTTTCCCCTTATTCCACTTTCCTTTCTTTTCCCTATATTCCACTGCTTTTCTTTTTCCCATATTCCACTTTCCTTTCTTTTCCCCATATTCCACTTTCCTTTCTTTCCCCATATTCCACTTTCCTTTGTTTTCCCCATATTCCACTTTCCTTTCTTTTTCCCATATTCCACTTTCCATTCTTTTTCCCCTTATTCCACTTTCCTTTTTTTCCCCATATTTCACTTTCCCTACTATTCCCCTTATGTCAATTTCTCTTCGTTTATATTTGATTTTCATTTTTTTGCTTTAGATTTTGCTCCGCTAGTCGCATGTTTCGCCCCCCCCCTCTCCGACATTACTTATCCCCTTATAGTAAGATTAATTTTGAATGTGCTAGGCTAAACATGCTTGGTTCTCCTGCGGGTTGACAGCTCTCTTTGGTACAATCCTAGCAATACCAGTCTTTGTCAGGCATATCAATCAAATCAATCAATTCGATCAGATAAATCAGATCAATCATTTAAATCAGATAAATCAAAAAATCATATCAATTAGGTCAATTAGATTAATCAGATCAATTAGATCAATCAGATCAATTAGATCAGTCACATCAATGAGATCAATCAGATTAATTGGATCAATCAGATCAATCGGATCCATCAGATCAATAGAAATTTTTTCTAAAAGATTAAACATAACAACGAGAAACGTTAGATACTACTGCTTTGTAACAATATAAAAAGCACAAAAATTGTTTCAATGTCGTTTTCCTATTCCACAGTTTTCTAGTTCTCACTGTGATAGTTTACTTTCTTGGATTTTTTTTCTTCTCTTCAATATATTCCTTGAAAATTTGAAAGCATTCCCTTACAAATCCTGAATGTTTGTTTGTACTGCAGAACTGGTTTGTACAACATGAAGGAAGTTGTAAACAACATGGTGAGTAAAATATTCAGATTTTATTTAAATATTTGATAATGGAAAACTCGCGTTTTTTTCATGGTTTTAGAGGAAATTTCATTGAGAATGTAGTAACCACAATGGCGTATTTATTATTTATAATTTTTTACAATTAAGGAAAAAACTAAGATATTCTTGATTTGATTTTACAAAAAAGCTCAACTTTTTATTTTGCTTTAAAAAAGAAGAAGAATTACTTACCCTAATACCCTGTATTCGACTTTAAAAAAGAAAACTTGTTTTTATCTATACTCCCCCCCTACCTTAGCATCTAGCCCTGGCTATCAAAACTCCCCCCTCCCCCAGCATCTAGCCCTGGCTATCAAAACTCCCGCTCCCCCAGCATCTAGCCCTTGCTATCAAAACTCCCCCCTCCCCCAGCATCTAGCCCTTGTTATCAAAACTCCTCTGTCCCCCGGCATCTAGCCCTTGCTATCAAAACTCCTCTGTCCCCCAGCATCTAGCCCTTGCTATTAAAACTCCCTTCTCCCCCAGCATCTAGTTCTGGCTATCAAAACTGCCCCCTCCCCCAGCATCTAGCCCTTGCTATTAAAACTCCCCCCTCCCCCAGCATCTAGCCCTCGAAGGCTGTAAAATAAAATAACGACTTGTTTTTTCTTTTAGAGAATAATGATAAACGGACAGTATCTTAGACTAGAGGTAAACAAATATTCTAATAAGAGAGATATTTTTTCACAATTTTTTACTGACTTTTTAAAAATGGAGTAGTATGAATTCCAAGACATAATCCTGATATGTCAAACTATCTTGAGAACCCACCTTTGTCTCGGTATTTTCCTATAAAAGTCAATCCACTCAACTTAGAAACATTTCCTTGGTTCTCCCGAGGTCCCCAATCAAATTTGAGGCGATTCGGTCCAGGGGTTCCTGAGTTATGATCAGACATACATACAGACAAACAGAGATTATTACTTTATATATAGATATTGAAGATGAATAAGACAGTATTGTTAATTCTTTGTCTTATTCTTATCTTTTTGAATCATGGTTAGATTTATTCCTCTAGAATATCTTATGTTCGGATCTAATGGATGTAAAACTAAAATTATCCTAAAATTTTAAAAGCTGTTACAGTGGATATCAAGATTAAAAGTTGTTTCAGATTTGTGCTATTTCACACAAAATTTTTATTCTTGATCATATTTTCCAATTTAGAAAATCCTTTGCGGCATTTCTTGATTTAAAGGGAGTGACCGGAAATGGTGAGTATGAAGGCTGAACTGAGAATGTAGTATTGTAGAGAAATTGTTTAGGATTCATTTGAGACATTGTTGTATTTCGGATTGTTCTTAATATGAGTGAACAGTCCCTTGAATTCAACGAGATGCCAGAGATAAGTACAACCCGAGCCGTAGCAGAAGACACAAGTCTCCTGCACTATACCGCTCCGGGTCCTGTGCTATATACAGCGCACAGACAGCATACAGAGGGAACTTAACAGGATGAGCTACTTAGAAGAATACTTAAACGTTAAGTTAGGAAACCTTGATAATAAAGGGATTCTGACTAACAATTATGTCAACAGTTTATCTTTATGTAATATGATGTATACATTTATGATTATGTGAATAAATGTGTTAACATTGTATTGAATGGATTTATTACTTTGGGTGTTAATAATTGCACGAGCATATAATTGTATAAGGCTTACTCTGTATGATTGAGATAGCCGAAGTATAATAATGCCAGGTTGCAAATATATCAACAGAGCATGAGGGTTAGGCCCGAGTGATGGAAATAACCCGATCTGCAATGTTGTCAGGTTGCAAAGATAATCGATTTAGAAACAAGTAGAATTACTTGAAGCATAATCTTATCAAAGTTTGCTAATTTAAGTTTGCCAATTCATTGCACATTTTAGTGGTCACAGGATACTACAACATTTAAAACGTTTTAATGATGTATAATTATACGGAGTCGAGGTTCAAAATCATCCATTTGGGTGGAAGAGGTGGAATGTCATGAGAATCGATTTTTTAATTTATTAGATAACTACGACAAAAGTATAACAAAAATTCTAAAGCAAACGAATAAGTTGTTTAGGAACAGGTTAAAAAATAAAAATTGACTCTTATTATCGCAAATAAGTAATCTTATTCAGTTATTTGTCTCTTTAATGTCTCATTGATCACAAAACGTTTTCTGTAGATCTCCTGGAATTTTTATTAAAATGACGACATTTAAAGAATTTAAAGAAATCTATTCGTAAAGAATAAGAAATTCATTACAATGATGAAAAAGAAATAATGGATTCTAAAATTAATTTATTGACAAATTTCTATTGAGAAATATGTTCCAAAACATCTAATTAGTTTACTGTCGAACTTTTGTTACATTTTTTGTCGTCGTTATATAAAAATTTAATAAAAATTGTTTCTCAAAATGTAACTACACTCAAATGGATGATTTTGAACGTCGACTCCGTATGATTATACATCATTAAAACGTTTCATACGTCTCAAATGAATCCTAAAACATTTCTTCACGATACTACATTCTCAGTTCAACTACCATACACTGCCGGTCACTCCCTTAAAAAAAAGAAACACAACAATTATTCCACAGTTTTTATCTAGTATACTATTTACAAACCGAAGCAATGTTTATTAAGGCGAATTCCAAATCCAATTTTTATTAAAATTATTTGTCAAAAAATTCAAAATCTAACTTTATGTTATTTTGGCATGTTGGTTAAATACATCTTTAAACTAAATAATACTTGTTCTAAAAAAGTAAATATTTTATTTTTCTGAAACAAAGCATCTTCTCCAAGATATTATTATTATTATCTTACTTTATCATTTATCTTCCTTAATTTACAAACATTTTGCTTTTCTTTTCTCTTTGATCATGAAAAAAAAAGAAAGATGTATTATATCAGAAAAAAAAACTTAGAACGAACGAAAAATAAACTCTAGAGTCTGATTAATCAATTAAAAAATCAAATTAAAACAAGAAAATTAACTTAACGCAAAGGCTGAGTATAAATTATGCATCTAGTAAGTTAAAGACTTCGGTTCAAAATATGCAAGGAAAAATAGTTCACACTTCATTTACACTAATAGATTATTAATACAATAGTTACCATTGGCAATCAGATTTTGTAAAGAATGCTTGACGCGAACCCATTTGTGTCAAATGTAACACAGTTCCTTTCCCTTTTTTTGGTGCAAAGCTGGCATTGGATAGAACTGCGTATAAGAAGAAATAAAAGAACAGATAAAACTGCAGTAATATCACTGCAATTTAAGCATATGATACAGCATAAATTCGGAAAGGATGAACGTGAATCCTATCTATTGTACTTGATAATCTATTATGCATTTCACGTAAATGCATTTACGTATTAAACAATTTAAAATTTCTAAATATTCCATAAGGAACCGTGACGATGAAATTTTAAAAGTATTTTTATATAAAATATTTAGGAGTATCCAGACTCAAGATACAAGGAACTCGAGAATATACATGCCTGTATATTTATTATTATTATTATTGTTATTATTATCATTATCATTATCATTAGTTTTATTGTTAATTTAACTCGTATTAATCAGGACTGGAGGGTGGGAGAACAATTCAATGTGAGTGATAGAATTTGGTTCACCCTATTCTCTACTCTCCTACAGTTCATCATTCCACTAGTTGTAATCTCTACTTGCTACTGTAGGATATCTATCTATCTCCAGGTTAATACTAATTAAAGGGGGTGCTAGCGTAATATCAAGTGACGCTCCGTGAAGATGAAAATACCCTTTAAACCATTTGTTCATCAATAATGTGTAAGATATTGTCTTTTTTCTAAAGTGTTTAATTCTGATAAGTTCCTACTTGTTTTCCTGCAATAGAAATGCACAAGTTACTTATGTAGGGAAACCACAAATGAAAATATATTCAGATTTGAAAATTATAAAAATTGATTTTTAATTCATACGTAATCAGATAAGGGTACCAATGCCATCTTTGCATGGACTGCCACTTAAATTGTATACTTACAGTCCCTTTAAATCAATTATTGTATCTGTGTAATATGTCAAAACATATGTCATAGATTCCATAAATAATAAAGAAGCCTTTTATTTTTATGTTGAAAGTTTTAGTGCTTTTTCTTTCCTTTGAAAAGGTTTGAAAAAGATGAATATTTCCGAGAAATATACTTTCATAATAATTTATTAATAGTCATATTACTTTTGCCTTTTGATATCTAAACCAGTTGTGAAGATAAAAATAAAAATAAATATATTTTAAAGTTTTTTTCTTATGATCAATTAGGATGATAAAAAATCACTTTGAAACTTAAATTTGCCATCAAACAAATAAATTATCATTAATTTCTTTTTCATATGTTTACTCTCACCCGGAAAGATTGACAATAAAACGAATGAAGCTAATTATACAGTTTTTAATATGTAGATATTTATTAATATGTATTATTGATTCCAAACTTATAGTTAGCCTATAAATATATATATTTGAATATATATGAAAATATTAACTTTAAGTATATTCTCTCAACTAACTTTTTTATTATAAAAAGTTTTCCATGTATCTTGCAACCCTAAAAGTTTACTCTTGTGTGTAAGATGAAAACAGTTCATTCTGCTTGTCTGTCTGTGAGGTCTATACTCTACATGTAGGGTTGTTAATCGGTTTAAAAACGATCGTTTTTCGTTTCGTTTTTAGTTTTTTCTGAAAGCAATCGTTTTGTTTTTGCTAATGAATCTGAGTTTTTTTTTGTTTCAGGAAGATAATTTTATGAATGTTTTCATAAATGTATTTATCGAGACAACTAACATTACCGTTTTCTGATATAAGGATTATCCGACTAAAAAATGTATTTGTCTTTAATAGGTTCTTTTTTCGTTTTTTCTTCGTCGTTTTTTAAACGAACGGATCATTTATAAAAAACGAAAACGATCCACCCCTTTCTGTATATATTAAGGTACTGAGTCGTTGCCACAAACTCTCAACAATTTAACAAACTATTTTCTGTAAAAAATGTTCGTTTATTCCAGAAATACTGCTAATAGCAAATACACCAGTCTTTTTAAATTTTACCAAAAGCTTAATTAAATAAAAGATGTAATGAAAAAGAACATTGTATATTGTATATTGTATATTGTATATTGTATATTTCCCCACCAGAATCCTAACTGGCCTATTATCCTGATTTGTCTAGTGTGTTGCTGTTTTCCGTCAACAATTGTATATTGTATATTGTATAAAATTAAAAGACAGCCAAGGGACTTGAACAAGATTAAAAAGTACCAAGGAAAAAAGTTTAAGTGGTGAATACATTCGTCATTTATGAAATCTGTTTTCGTAATAACTTTGAAAAAAGTTTTAAAATGTAGGAATAAAAAACTTTAAAACTTTTTACATTTAGGCGAACCGACATCCTTGTCAAAGAAACAGTGCAAATCAGAGAAAAACGAATTTACTTCTCTTTCTCATTTCTCTGATATTTTCAGTAAGGTAAACATATTTTCACACAATTCTTCAGAGACAGTTAGACCCAGAAAACTGTGGAACAGGAAGACGACTGTTAGACTCAATTTTTGATCTGATCTTAAAAACAGGAAAAACAGGAATTGTGTAGTGTACACAGACTCATTTAACTTATTAAGCTGATTTTTAAGCTACTGGTATAATTACGTCTATATATACTTTGCGTCGGTGTCTGGGTGTCTGTTTGTTTGTTTGTTTGTTTCTAAATAATAAACGTCAAAACGGCTGAACCGAGCGGGCCAAAATTTTCTGTGGGACCTCACAAGACCCCCAGGGAAGATCAAATTAAAAAATTTAGCCTCTAACAAAATTCGATTGTCATTAAATTTAAAAAATCCACGACATTTTTTTTTACAAAATTCGCAAATTTTTTGTTTGTTTTTGTTTTACAAGGAATATAAAGAAAAAATGTTAACAATTGAAATAGAAGATGGGCGCCAAGTACTTTAACAAAACAATATAAATAATAAAATATACCCATAATCCCTAGTTGGATACCCATAATCCCTAGTAGGATACTCATAATCCCTAGTTGGATACCCATAATCCCTAGTTGGATTCCCATAATCCCAAGTTGGATACCCATAATCCCAAGTTGGATACCCAAAATCCCTATTGGATTCCCATAATCCCAAGTTGGATTCCCATAATCCCAAGTTGGATACCCATAACCCCAAGTTGGATTCCCATAATCCCTAGTTGGATTTCCATAATCCCTAGTTGGAAACCCATAATCCCTAGTTGGATATACCCATAATCCCTAGTTGGATACCCATAATCCCTAGTTGGATATCCCCATAATCCCTAGTTGGATACCCATAATCCCTAGTTGGATATACCCATAATCCCTAGTTGGATACCCATAATCCCTAGTTGGAAACCCATAATCCCAATGCTTGATATCGATATCCACAGTGGATATTTTTGAAGTTTACAGTCTCTTTGAACCGTAACCCATGGATCATAGTTGTGAATGATGATTGGAAATTCTTTGAATTCCATTCCATTGGAAATCAGATCTTTAGGTTTAAGTTCATTTAGAAGTTTTTAAAAGGAGAATGGGCACATTTCCCCTCGAATGGCACAAATTTTCAAGGGAGATTCACGCCTTCATTTTTAAAGCTATCTTCTTGAGATTTTTCATGAAGGTCAGATTAGTGATTAACTCTAGGAAATAAAATGAATTTACAAATTTTAAGCAATAAAAAACAAAACAACATTTTCTCTTTTTTTTTTGAAAAATATAGGTTTTCCTGATTATAAGTAAAAATGCAAAGTTTGAGCAGAAAAACTTTATAAATGTAGATAGGAACTCAAATTCAATTTCCAAAGGGGAAAATGACCGGAAACAAAAGAAGGAAAAAATAAAAAGAATAGTTATCAAAGGAAGGATATTATCCACCATAATACAGGCACAATTTTACTTAAATCAGAAAGAATCTATATTTTTTCAAAAAAAAAAGGAAAATGCGGTAAAAATGTTTTTTTTTTTATTTCTTACCTTTTGAAAATACATTCCTATAGTTTATTACTAATCTGACCTTCATGCAAAATCTATAGAAAATAGCTCCAAAAATAAAGGCGTGAATCTCCCTTAAGAATTTGTGTCATTTGAGAGGAAATAGGCCCATTCCCGTTTAAATTGAAAATAAATTTGATTTCGAAGAATATTAAAATCTTAGCTGTAGATATGTTACACATTTCGGATTTTTTTGGACCCACTGTGATCCAAAAGTTGTAAATTTTCATGCAAAAATTGATGAAAAGGAATTGAGTCTTTGCCACAAACTCTCATTTTCTAATCACTTTATCTTTGGAACCAAAATTTGTGGACCTTAGATATTTCAAACTATGAGTTCTGTTAAATCAAATAATCAGAGTTTGAAATATCAAAGGTTTACAACATCGGGTTCAAAAGATATTGAGGTTTAAATATTTGATTTTGTTACAAAGACTCAATTCCTTTTGCCAGTTACAACTAAACTTAAACAACTGCTTTAGAGTATTGAAATGTACATTCCCAGGTCTACCAAAAAGTACAAGTGAGTAAAACAATAGTCAAGGGCGTGGCGACACTTTAAAGTCAACCTAGCCTTGAAAACTATTGCAAATTTTCACAGCAGTCTTGATCTATTTGTGGACCCAGAACTTTCCCCCAGAACTTTAGTTGTGCTTGATGCAATTTTTTTCAGAGCTTGCTGTCTTGGTTTTTCTAACTTGTCACGGAATTGGTAAGTAGAAAATATCAGGGTTTCCTTGGAGATTAGAAGAACGTAAATTGTACTCTAGTATTAGTCTAGGGTTTACTCCAGTATAAGCCTTGTATTTACTCTAGTATTAGTCTAGGGTTTACTCCAGTATAAGCCTTGTATTTACTCTAGTATGAGTCTAATGTTTACTCTAGTTTAAGCCTTGTATTTACTATAGTATTAGTCTAATGCATTTACTCCAGTATAAGCCTTGTATTTACTCAAGTATAAGACTAGTGTTTACTCCAGTATAAGCCTAGTATTTACTCTAGTATAAGCCTAGTGTTTACTCCAGTATAAGCCTTGTATTTACTCTAGCATAAGTCTAATGTTATACTCCAGTTTAAGCCTAGTATTTACTGTAGTATAAGTCTAGTGTTTATAAGTTTTGTATTTACTCTAGCATAAATCTATTGTATACTCCAGTATAAGCCTAGTGTTTAATCCAGTATAAATCTAGTGTTTACTCCAGTATAAGCCTAGTGTTTACTCCAGTACAAACCTAGTATTTACTTCAGTAGAAGTCAAGTGTTTACTCCAGTACAAACCTAGTGTTTACTTCAGTAGAAGTCAAGTGTTTACTCCAGTACAAACCTAGTGTTTACTCCAGTATAAGTCAAGTGTTTACTCCAGTATAATCCTAGTGTTTAATCCAGTATAAACCTAGTTTTTACTCCAGTATAAGTCTAGTGTTTACTCAAGTATAAGCCTTTACTCAAGTATAAGCCTAGTGTTTACTGTTTACTCCAGGTATGACTAGTACTATCTCCAACCCAGCTCTCTATGCGTTCCTGAACGAAAACTTCAGGAAAGAATTCCGTCGAATGTTCGGAATAGATTCCTCCCAGCCCGGTCATCTGGGCAGACGGTCAAACGATAGACAGGTATAATGTTATTTTTTGATAACAAATTCGATTAAAAAGCAAAGTTCAACTTGAACCCGTTTTACAAGTTTATGTAAAGCGTGGATGCAAGTTTAAGCTTGACCCTCCATTTATAAAGTTGCATGTCGAATTCACAACGGCACCTAATCTACGAAGGATGGGATTTTTATTTTTTTCCCTGAAAATTGATAATTTTCAATTTTGTGTTGAACAGACATACCATTCTTTAAATGAAGGGTCACTTAAAATAAAACCTAATACATTCCCTTTAGGGGTTTATTATTTTTATGTTTGCAACCCATGATATGGTAAAACTTTAATAAATTTTACTAAGCATATTTGAGGTAGAAGAATTTATAGATTAAAATATGAAAAGTATATTCAACATGTACATTTGAAAAGGATTTGAAAACAAAGTTATTATCCTAAATTTAAACGTGCCCACATTGGATATCGAGATCAAGCATTCAACACTGCTTCTCACAAAAGTTTCGAATATGGTCTTCTTCAGATTGTTATGTTTATAGTAAAATACTCTGTATATCTGATCTTCTTAATTTTCTGGTTTTTGTAGGTTGGTCGACGTGTACCAGATATACCTAAAGTAAAGATTAACGACAACTCAACGATACAAATCGGCGATTTTCAGATGAACGATATGTCTCCTTCGCTTAGCACAAGGTGAGTGGAATTTTTGAAATTTCTTTTTTTACTTTGGTTCCTTTGATTGTGTAACATGTTTTTTTGTTTTTTTTTGCTTCACAAAAATCAATTCTGTGTAACATGATTTTTTTTNTAACACTAAGACGGGAGTTACGGAAAAGTTCAATGTTTTCCATTTTTTTTCAACCTTAACATTAAACATTTTTACCAAACTTGAAAAGAAATTATAGTAAAAAAATATATATTTTATAACATTCCATAATGAACAGGCCCTTCTACCCACTGGTTTTACAAAATGTTCAATTTAATAACCCAGATCTCCTCGCATTGTTTCACATTGTCTAACTAGGGTTTCCAGCGAAAAGGAAAAATCGTTTCGCGAAATTTTCTTTTTTTCGCGACCATTTCGCTTCATTTTTGCATTTCGTTCGCTCGCAAACAAATGCAAAAATGTTCGCTTTGTTCGCGAAATTTCGCTTCAATCTGTTTCGCGAGGTGGAAAATGCGAAAATTTCACGAAAATGCGAAAATTTTGTAAACAAAATAATGAGAAAATTTTGCGAAAAAATAATGCGAAAATTGAACGTATGTATTGTGGACGGACAGGGTGAAACTTAAGATAGCTAATGAAATTAAATTCTCTTCATCAAACATTTATTAAAGTAAAGGAAGAGAAATTATTTACATGACATAATAAAACTTTTAAATTGAAGGTTTTAATATTAATTCTGAGAGAAATAATTCAATGACACAGTTATCGGGGAGGTTAACCGACTGAATATATTGGGGAGGTTAACCGACTGAATATTGGGGAGGTTAACCGACTGAATATCGGGGAGGTTAACCGACTGAATATATTGGGGAGGTTAACCGACTGAATATCGGGGAGGTTAACCGACTGAATATGAGTTACTAGCCTGGGAACCCAACTTTGGCAGGAGTTTCCCCTATAAAAGACAACGTTCACTCAACTTAGAATTTTTAACCCAGACGTCCCGTGGTTCTTTACTCAAAATTTGAAGCAAATCGGTCCAGGGCTTCAAAAGTTATTAACTTGCATCCATCAGACAAACAAACGGATATCAATACTTTATATGTTTAGATAAAAAGATTTAAAATCGTCAAAAGTTTTGACAGTGTCCGAGAGTGCTGGAATTAAAAACGTTTCTACATCAAAAGAAAATTTCAATTTTGAATTCTTTAACAGTTTTCCCATGTTGCTTTCGTGTTGACATTAATAAAAGAGAATGCCATGGTATTCAGTAACCTTTAACTATAACAATGACATTAAGTTTAAACTTTAAAGTCTTATGGAGTCTATAAAAAGTCATAACGGTCGAAATGCGTCTTTTATATAATAAGGATTGTCGTGAAATGTGAAACATTTCTTTTTTAAATTAAATTGTGAAGTTAAAGCTGTATAATATATATAAGTATATAATGTAATATGTATCACATCGCTGAAAACACAACAATCTTCTTACACAATTTGATTTATATTACACAGTGTTTCATGCTGGATGCAATCTTCAGTATAATTGTGTTTTATATAATATATACATATATATATATTTCATGGATACATCCATTATTCCTCGGGTTGTATTTTTTTTTTGATTTTTAGAAATAATTTTTAAGGATTATGTCGTCAACGACTGGTAGCAGCCAGTGTGCTGAGTTTCTCCAAGTTCGGTATCCTGATTTCAGTATCAAGTAATGAGTATATATTGTCTATATTGTGTTGTGTTGTCTTAGTGTTTATTATGTACTTTATTTTAAAAGAACGTGTGTAGCTAGCAAGGTACTAATGCAAGGAAAATTATTTCAGAAGTGTACGCATTTTTTGTCTTTGGGCGGAAAAGTAAACACAACACGGATGTCACAGCCTGACATGGAATCCATTTTCTCAAAAATAATCTTTGACATATTCTGGTCAAAGGAAACTATTGTGTGAATTATCAAAATTATCAAATTAAATGCTTTGTTCCTCCTCGGATACTAGAGACGAACACTGATGCATCTATTTTTGTGTACAAATTCCGCCCAGAGAGGACTGGTTTCAATATGTACGTTTAGTATACACAACGGCAATTATCTTTCCTTGCATTAGTACCTTGGTGTGTATACAGTTTTTTTTGATACCGTATTAAATTCATATTAAACGTTTTCTGTCCAACAAATTACAAGATTCTCTAAAGGAATTGGGTCTTTAAGTTTAATATATTAAAGCTCTGCGCTTTAAAGTGAACAAGATTAGAAAACTTGAGTTTGTGACAAAGACTCAATTCCTTTATAAATGTTTTTTTGGCGTTTTTGAAATTTATAATTCTGAAAAAGTTCATTGCAATCCCATGTTTCTTTAATTTTAATTATTAAACGTTTTATGCGTTTATATTTTGAAAATAGTTTTTAAATAAACTTTTTTTTCAACGATCTAGCAATCCTTCTCTGTACGTACTTTGCATAATGTTCATATAATCCCTTCCATCTATTTTTATATTTGATTTAGAGACAGATTTTGTATTTTTACACAACGATATTAAACACTAAACTTAGAAAGTTCGCGAAGATAACTGGAATCATAGATTACTAACAATACAGATAGAACACTAGATGTCGTCTTTTCAAGATGTAGGGGTGTTTCGTTCACTATAACCCTGAGACAGAAGCCTAAAGGAGTTACGGGCATGTTTTCTCTGTCTTGTCATTCAACGTGGCATGCGTGTAACTCCTTTGGGCTTCTTCCTCAGGGTTATTGTTTACAAAAAACCCATAAATCTTAAATCGACGACATATAGTGTTCTATCTGTATTTTTAATAATCTATGACTGGAATTATTTTGTTGTAAGTTTTGTACATTGTATTACTGGATTCCGTGATTTCAAGGGACCACCATTTTTTTAAATTGCATGCTCGAATCACAACGGTACCCATTGAATCTTTATCGGAGCATCTATGAGGAAAAAATCGCGTTTTTTGATCTAAAAGAGTGTCAACTCCTGACTAGTGTCCATTTTCCATTAATTTTCTAAACAATTTTACGTTATCAACGAAGCCAAAGTTTAAGATTATCAATTTTTAAATAAATGAAACAAGGATTAATCCATCATTTTGGCACATATAAGAAGGTCAATTAAAATTACGTAAATTATAGTTCCTTAAGTAGTAACGATGAATTTGGGCCATTCATGTTCATTCTTTATTACTGGAAAAATACTTGAGTCCATTCCTTAAAGTGTAGAAAAACGACAATAATTCTGTGTATTTAGTTTATGGAAAGACTCATNTAAAATTACCGTAAAGTGTTGTGTTGAGATTAAAAGAAACATATCTGTGTGCTTTATTACCTTGTTTTTCTTTCAAAATATCTTGTGAAATTTCTCACGTTTCTATCAATTAACTCAGCGGTAACAAAAATAACAAAAAAAGGAAGAAAAGGCATAGAGTCAAGGAGAAAACATATATACAGGTTTATCCATACAGAAAGCAACTTCAAAGATGACTCATACGGATCATCTGTTTTCTTATCTTTACTTTTCCATGCAAAATCATTACATAAGAAGTTAAAAGAATAAGGTTAAGATTAATTAGCCTTGAATAATTAGAGAGTTTCAGATGGTATTTACAATCTCATCCTTTATGAATAACCCTGTACTTACGAAACCAAATATCAAAAACTAGCCGAAGTGCCCGAAGTTGCCCGTGGAATTTTTAAAAATCGAACTTTGGAAAAAAAAATCAAATTTTTAAAGCCTATGTTACCCCCAGGGTACTCAAGGGTTCCCTCAAAAAATGTCAGCCCATTCGGTCCAGCCAATTGGCCAACTATAGAAACAGTCAAACAAATATATATGAGTTAAGAGCTTTATTATATAGACTAGAAAGTCAAGACTCGAGAGGAAAAAAATCTCAACAGTTAAAAATGAATGTGTCTTATATATAAAGATGAATATAAAGATGAATCCTTCATTTAATACTTTTCTCATTATCTAAATATATAAAAAAGTTTCTTAACTTTGTATTCTTTCCATTAGTGACCAATACTTTTTGAGTTATGTAAAAAAACTACAGCAGGAATAGGGTTTAAAAATGAATGTGGAAAAGTCAATAAATCTCATAAAGATATATTTATTAAAAACGCACATTCATTGCACCAATCTCAGGTTTAAATCAAATCACAAAAAATAGTGGAAATCCAAGCTGGGGCCGCGATTTATTGAAAGTATTTATAAAATCACACATCTTGAAAAAGCTGAAAATTATCATTAAGCGTAGATAAATTCAATTCAAATAAGGACCTCCGTCCACCACACGTATTTCAAAACAGACAAGACATTAGAAACCAAAATAGATGGATTTGTCTTATATACATAAAGATGAATATAAAGATGAATCCTTCATTTAATACTTTTCTCATTATCTAAATATATAAAAAAGTTTCTTAACTTTGTATTCTTTCCATTAGAAATATATTTTCTACTCTTTGTGTTGTGTTTGTTAAGTGTATTATTATTATGTTGTTTTGTCCTGATAAATATAAAGAAAATAGATGTTTTAAATGGCCGAATTTTTGTGATTGTCACTTGTAGATTTCTGCTACAGACACAAAAAAATTTCGCAGAATTCAAGAATTCAACATTTTTTTTTAGCTGATAAAATTTTCTATCAAGATAATGGTTCCATTGTCCACGAATATTGCGCGTGTTTGTCTATCCCATCCAACGGGCAGCTGTAGTACATACATTTGAATTTCCGAGCCTAGCTGGTCAACCTATCCGGTCCATTTTGTACTGTACCTAGCTCTATGGACAGGACCAGCCGGTGCAACAAGGTTGACGCGGTCAGACTTTGTGCTTCATAAAGGTTGAATTTACTTTTATTAAAAGGGTTGAGGTGCGTATTCCAACCGTCCGCCTAAGAAAGCCATAAAGCAAATTACCTTTAATAGTAACAACGTCTTTAAAACTTTTTAGATAAAATAATTGATAATTTATTTATAAGTAAAACATAAATTTAACTGATTTTTTTATATTCTAGAGTTTTATTGAATTTATTTATTTTCAGTTTCCTTTTACGTTAGACTTGTCCCATTTTAAAGTTTGTATCAATTTTGCAAAAAAATTCGCAAGAAATAATTTTACATTAATAACCTTCTCATGCATCATGTAAGCCCTGGCCTACACGTTTACAATATATGATAACTTATACTGTAATGCCAAGTCTATCATTATTTTAGTAAATTGCAGGGTTTTCCTAAAAAGAATAATTCAGAGAGCAATTGAACTCTTGTATTGTTAATAATTAAATCTATGATTTGTGATTGAGTAGTTTTCATATCGACACTTCACACAAGAATATTAGATACGTTGTTATTTAAGTTGTTAAGCATTTTCCCAAGGATGACTTACCAAGTGTAAATTTACCAAATGGCAACTTCCCAAACGTGCAATTTTCCAAGCGGCAACTTCACAAATATATATTAAAGGTTAGGTTAGGCCTTTTGAGGCACCGCAATCTGCGACTAGCATGGGCTAGGGGGGCAAAGCGCTTTGGCTAAAACAGGCTTAAAGCCAAGCGCTTTGGCTAGAACAGGCTTGAGAAGTTGCCGCTTCTGATTTTCTAATATGTTAAAACAAAATAATCAAAACTAGAGGAGCTACAAGGTCACAAAGTCGTTGCAAGTCGTTGCATAGATTTGACAGTCTCCTTAAGTAAATATTTAGTTTTTTTAACTGCACGCCGCGCCAGAGGATTTCTGTTCTTCAAACTATAGGATATTGATGATGAGAAAAATGTTTGAAACTCGGAGTATACATTATTTTAAATTTCAATAACAGTCCCTTTAGATTTAATGTTTTTTTTTGTTTCAGGGCAACATACACAGTGGACTGGAACAATGAGGAAAATCATTTTATTTATCATTCATTGCATTTTTTACTTTTTATTTGATTAGATAAGTTGTAAAACAAAAGGAATTATTTTTTTCCACTTTCTTTGATTTAACATTTTTGTTAACCCCGAATATTCTAGTTTGAGATACTTTCATGGGCTATGAAAGAATTATACTTCCTTTAATTCGACTCTACAAAAAATTTACATTGAATGTGAGAATAATTTGTTTTTGTAAAAGAACGAAATTATATCGGACTAACAGTGACTGGCTAGGTATGGTATAGTTGAACTGAGAGCACAGTATTATAAAATACTAGCTGAAGGGCCCAGCGTTGCCCGTGGGAACAAAGTAGCAAAAAATTTTTGAAAAAAAATTTAAAATAAAAAAAGTTGATGAAAAATTTCGAATATTTTTAGCCTATAACCCATGAGTGTCCAGAAAAAGTGTCAGCCCAATCGGTCCAGCTGGCTGGCTATAGGCAGCATATATATATATATATACGAATGTCTTGTTTTATTATATAGATAATGGCAGGATCCAGTTTATGCTTACAACACTTGTTTTCTATTATTACTACATACGTAATTGACCACAACAAGCTCGCTCTTCAAAAATTACTGAGGGCGGATAACTCTGGGATTTCCTTACAAGGTTCGAATTTTTGAAAAATAATTTCGTCGATTATTTCTGTTGAGCAATGTGTTCCAATTAACAGCAAATTAGTTTAAAGAAGAATTTTCGTAACGTTTTTCGTCTGGGTTATTAAATGGTTTAAAAAAACGAATCTTGTGAGCAAACCTCCAGAATTTATCAGCCTCGTGATATTTGAGGCACTCGAGTTTTCAATCTTATGTACAGGTTTACCCACATAGGATGAGACTGTAAAGACGACCTAAAACCTTTTAATTATGTCGATCCCAGGGTTGAATTAAGTTTTCGGTCTTAAGTAGGGGTTTTAAGGAAAGAAACAAGTTGCAGGGAATCGTAAATAAAAGTGCGGTCGTCTCTGAGGTCTTATCCTTGGACGGTAATCCTGTAGTAATTTACAACAAAATCATATATACATCTCAGTTCAACTACCACCGTACCCATAGGAATGGATCGTTTCAACTTTAAAAAAAAAACGATCGTTTCTCTTAAAAAAACGACGAAAAAACAAAGAAACGATCGTTTTAAAAAAATATAGTTTTCAAAAAACGATCTTTTTAAAAAACGACCTTTTACGACGACCATTCGAACGACCTTTTAGAGAAAATACATTTTTTGTCAGGTTATTTGTCTAGATAAAAAAAACATTTAAGGCAACATCATCTTCCTGAAAAAAAACTTTATTAATTGTCATTAGAGTCAGATTCATTCGCGAAAATTTGTTTAAAAAGATCGTTTTTTGTTTAAAAAAGCGACCATTTTCGTTTTTTGAAAGTTTATAACGAGTGGTTTGCCTGCAAAAACAAACGATTTCTTCTAAAAACGAAACGATAGTTTTTTGGAAGAGAAACCCAAACGAAAAACTATCGCTTTTTCGATCGTTTTTAAAACCAACTCTACTAACCTAGCCATTTTCTCCATTTAAAGGATTTTTTACCTTCAATTTGGTTGAATTAAAGGGTCTGGGTGCGTTGAACAAATGTTGTGATTCATGTTCATTATCAATATCACAAAATGAGTCTAGTGGTCGCCTTCCTGTCAAAATATCCCTAAATTCAAAGATGACAGTAGAGATAAGTAAAGATAAGAATCTATTATTTATTTTGAGATAGTTTAGCATTATTACCTCCTCTGATTAAACATCTTGGACAAAGCTCTTTGGTTCCTCCCCAATAACCATGGAAATTGAGACGACTTGAAAGTCATCTTTAATTTCTGATATTTAATGCATGAAAAAGAAAGTTTAAGAACAAGGCTGTGGTCTACCTTAATTGTACCTTAAAAATTGACGCAGATATATATATATATTGATTATTCCACGGTTTTTCTGTCAATTATAAAAATATTTTTGATTATTACACTTACTTCCTATAACGCATAGTAATATTATACCACTTTCTTAGAGGATTTGAATGCATTCCCAGAATTACATTGATAACTTTATTTGAACCTGAAAGGACCAGTATTCAGTAATTTATAACTTTTGTAATAATAGAGGTAAAGGGAATACCCATGTATTCTTTCAATCAATAAGGAACAGGAAAAATACTCAATTCTTTCCCCTTATCTTATCAGGGGCGTTTATAGGGGACAGGGGGCACACAAGGTATTCGTATAAAAAAATTTTCATGTCCATTTATAATACTTATTTTAAGATTTTAGGTCTTTCAGAATTTTAGGCCATGCAAATAAAGCCTAACAAAGATAGATTCAGCATGCAAGATTAGCCTTGTAAGACTTAAGGACTAAAAACCCAACTGTCCGAGGGATTGTTTGATCTGCAACAGACTCCTGAAAAAGACTAAGAATCGGTGTCATTGGTGCAAAATCAGGACAGGAAAATACAGAGTTATAAAAAATATCTAAAATTTCTACTGAAAGAATTATTGAAAATACTTTTCAGGGGCGTCATGGGAAAAAACTATTTTTAAACTCAATTTCATATTTTGTTTACAATATTATAGTAAATAGTAAACTCTAACATTTTTAAACTGAACCATCCATTCGCAAGTGCATTAAAAATGTACTATTCTTAAAGAAAGGGGCGCCTATAATATCACTCAACGCTCCTTCATCAATTTTATTTGACAAAAAAGAAAATATTGATTTTTGAATTTTTTAAGAAGTGTGTAGCCTGGAGCCTTCAATAGATTTAATATCCAAAATACATCATTTTTATTAAAGTGCGGCTAGAAATTCAATTTCTCATAAAAAAAAACAATAATTTAAAATCATTTAAAACCATATCATCCTTTAGGAAGTGTCTTTAATAGGTTCAAGATAAAAACACGATTTTTATTGAAAGGGTCGCCTAGAAATTCGATATCACTGAACACCCCCCACTTTTATTTCTTTTTAAAAAATTAATGAAAATAATAATTTATAACCATGTAATCCTGCATGTAGGGAGTGTTTTTAAAGGCCTTAAATGTGCCATTTTTTTCAAAAGGCATGCCTACAAATTCAATATCACTGAACATCCCCCTGTTGGATTTTATTTGTCAAAATCAAAGAAAATGTTAATCTACAATTTTTCAGACCATACCATACTTTACATTATGGAGTGTCTCAATAACTGAAAGTTTTTTTTTACTTTGTGTTTGACAAATGAATCTTAAGAGATGGTTGTAAAGTGATATCGAATTTCTAGGCGCCCTTTTCTTTGAAAATTGGTGCATTTTGGATCTTATAGTCTTTAAAGGTGATTCCTAAATAATGGTATGGTTTGAAATATTTCAAATCTACTATTTTCTTTGTTTCTATCGCTTATTTTGAAATTTTTGGCGCCCCTTTCTAGGAAAATGTTGCATTTTGATTTTTTAAGCTATCGAAGACAATTCTTAGTTACTACAGAATGAAATGGTTTCAAAAAAATGAAATTTAAAAATATTTCTTTTGTTAAAAAATAAAATCGAAGTGTGTGGTGTTAACTGATATTGAATTTCTAGGATTTCCTTTTAATGAAAGTTGTGCATTTTTGATCCTACATCCTTTAAAGATTATTCTTACAAGGGTTGGGTTTTAAATTGCCAAGGTGTATCTTGACGACCCTAAAAAAGTGTTATTTTTTTGTAGATCATATTAAATAATAAATTAATATTAAATTTTTAAAAAAATTTCTACTTGCTTTTCCTGAGATGAATTTGTGTTAAGTGGCTTATTCTTCTTCATTTTCAGGACTCTGATGTAGATCAAACAGTTGACCTGATGACAGTTGGCTTTGTACCTGAACCATATCTGGCAAACCTGACAAGGACATTTACCAATTACCAGAATTTTAGTATGATTGAAGTTTCTTTTTTCAGTGGTCAACATTTTAAAAGATAACGCTAATTTTCCAACACATGAAATTGATCTCCGCGATCGGCAACTTTGTATTTGCATTTTTTATATGGCCTTAACATTCTGATAGACCTAAAAACTTAAAATATGTGTGATATATTGACATGAAAAAATATTTAAATGGATACGTTTTGGCCCCTGTTCCCTTTCTACGCCCCTGATGAAAGAACAGGAAATGTCAGTTTTTAATGGGTTCAGGTTAAAAAAAGAAACTAATTGAAAAAAAGTAATTTGTTAGTTTCGTGATTGTGAGAATGAATTAACATTGGTTTTAGTTTCTAGAATTAAATAGCTTATCTATCTATCTATCAAGTTCCCGATGAATAATTCTTACTATTGTCATCTACGGGGTGTCCCAAAACATGACAGTTGGTGAATAGTTTGGATGTCTTTTTCCATATACAGTATTAGATATTTAAGACTTTTTGTAGTTTGTTTAGTTTAAAAACCTTTCCTCAATTATATTTTACTTAGAAATCGATTTTACTATAATATGCCATAAAGTATTTATTATCTTTGGCAACAAAAAACTTTACATATTATGGAAGAAGACATTTTAAACTATTCACCAACTGTCATGTTTCGAGGGACACCCTGTAGTTTGCGAATCTATATATCTATCTAGTTCCATGTGAATAATTCTTATTATTGTCACCTACTACGTGGAATAATCATAATTATTACACGAAATAGGCGACAATAATAAGAATTATTGCTAATTTGGCTACGTAGTAAATCCGATAAGAATGTGGTAAAATATATTTAGAAATTTTTTTTTTTTATCAAATAAATTTAAATTTGTACTAATTTTGCAATATCTCTGTCAATTTTGAAGATACAAAATGATAGACCACATTTTAAAAATCTTAAAACTAGGCGTTTTCGATATTCGATGAACCTAAATACTGCAATAATTGTGTTCATGAAAAAATGCCGCATGGATCTAAGACGATATTAAAGCAGTCACTTAATTTACATGATTATTGGGACACCCTGTATGTTAGATGAAATTAAAGGACTATAATACAAATGTAAAACTGGCTTTAATCCATAAAATGTCATTTATTGCTTTTGTTTTAATTTAATAATCATGCAATATGATAATAAAATGTACTGCTATGAAGGCTACTCATATTTCAACCAGCCAACCTGAGTCCCCCAGTAGTCCCATCCGACAACGAGGAAACCAACCTTCACCACCATCATCTAATCTTCTTGAAATCCCTTCACTCCGATCTCCCATCACCAATATTCTCCCTTCAACCCGTGACCCAAAAGACAATTTGACTCACTTTATGTTTCCCGACGTGGGACAAGAACATCCTTCACGTTTAAATCCCACCTCTTCAGCTGTCTTTGAGAATCCGTTGTTCTCGGGAGTCAGCCGTGTAAGTTTGGATGCAGCAGGCCGCAACAATAATAAGAACCAAACGGGGCATTCAGCGCAAACCGGTTTTCTCAAATTCGTCGAGAACAAATATCAAATCACAGAATTTTAAGATCGAAAGCATCTGGCAAAGCTATAGATTATAGATCAAAATAAACTGATTTAAAACATTACAAGGACTGAAAGTGACCCTTCATACAAAGAAACCAAATCACAACGGTACCCCTGAAGCCTTTATTGCAGATTTTATAGTTTTTCTAGGTTCCTAGGTGTTTTATTATGTTAATTTCTATGTTTTAGAGAACCAATTTGTGAAAATAATCGCGTTCAACATTATAAACATAAATATATATAATACTTGATCGGACAAAGCATTAATGGTAATGTTGTGAATCTGGCATTGTCATCTTTTCTTTGAGGGTCACTTTAAATTACGCTTACACAGTCCCTAACAGAACATCGTTTCAATAACAGGAGAAAGCGCTATAATTTTCTTCTTCCAAATTACAAAAACTTTTTAGATTGTAATTTCGATGATCATTGAACAGCTGGCGACTTTGATTAAAATCTTCTAAAAGAAATTGTAACAATAATTTATATGTGGTGTAATATTTAATGTTAAAAACATTATGCAACCATTTTTAAACCTTTCTTAGGTGCATTCATGTCCCCAGATTAGAAAAATCTTGCTTATTTTTTTGCTGCTTTTTACCCAACATATATATGTATGTCTTGTTTTATTATATAAAATAAATGTGCAATTTTATTTGTAAATAAATTGGTTTTCATGTATAATTTTTACAACTCTTGTGAATAAAATTACTACGTTTTAATTCATGAAACTTGGCAAATATATTATTACATATTAGCTTAAGGACCCGGCGTTGCCCGTGGACAATTTTTTTTTTAAATGTTCGATTTCTTTAAAGCCTATGACACCCCCGACCACCCATGAGTGTCCACAACAAATCTCAGCCCAATCGGTATAGCGTTTTGATCATTTGCTATTTTTTTATTAAAACAAATACTCGCATTTTGTAACTCCAGAAACATTGTAATTAAATCATCCTTGTTTCAGGTTTGAAATATATTTTGCGACTAACAGTTTTAACACATCGGAGAGAGTCCTAGAGAAGCTTAATCACCTTGTGTATGCCTTTACAATAATATACGATATTTTCCACAGCATGTTCTATTGTGTACAAACACTGTACACGACGAATCAGGAGACATCTGTATTCAGAGATATTTAAGGATCCTTTGAATAGACAATATTCATAAACGTTATGTTTAATGTTTAAAATTGGAGTATTTCTTTAAAAGTTGTAAAACCTAACCCCTGAATGCAACAAATGGCCGTGAGATGTGAGTCAAAAAACATTACATTGAACCGTAGCATGGCGTGCCGGGACACTATAGTCCTGCTCAGCCTATCCAGGTAGTGCAGTCACAACATATTTTTTTTAGGCTTTCATTCGCTGAATTGGGATAAATTAATAAATTTCTGGTTATAAAGTATGAAAAAGGATTAAAAAAAAACCTTGCCTTTGGAGATCAATTTTATTTTTTCCTCCCAACAGATCTTCAAAAATATTTTCCCCTTCAGTAGAAAGAGTAGAAGGCATCAAAGGTAAATATTTTTAGGATATTTTATTGCTTTTCAGTTTTCAGCTTGACTTCTCCCATACACACAGTGTCCCAACTAGTGATGTCCATTCCCTTTGTTCAAAAATACGGACGGAAAGCGACCCAATAACTTATCCAAAAACAAACCAGTCGTAAACTATCGTTTTTGGATAGTTCTAATTTTTTTTTACAGACAAAAATATAACACCAAACCTTAATTTGTGACAGTTCTGAAATCTTGGAAAGTTTTAAGAAATGTTTTCAAACCTCGATCCAAATTCACCAATTTAGTCCTAACATAAATGGGAATTGGCGAACACATTCATATTGTCTTTAAACTTGGTTAGCTTAAAAAAAATGCATGTAAAAAACAATATGCAAAGATATTTTTTAAATGACCGTGAGCAGAAGAGCTGCACAATTCATTGGGGTCGAAATTTTATCTAGCATGAACTGTTAAGTAAAAAATTATTGAACCACCATAAAAAATCAAATTACAAGTATAATTCTATATTTAACTGTTTAAAATTTATACAAATATAATAATATCGATTATCAATCCGACAAATTAATGCATTATTTAAAAATAGTTTTCCTTTTCAAAATTAATTTTCAGCAGGTTATTGCTACAAATTTAACAGAATGTATTTTTCATCTACTGTCATAACATTTTTGGTAAAGTACAAGAAAATCTTCAAAATTAGGGTTTTTTAAAGACATTAAAGTTTGTAAATCACGATCAATTTTAATTCAAAAATTAAAAATCATGTTTAAATTCATATCATTTGAAATCATTTTCCTCAATAAAAGAATTACATTTTCTCAATAAATGAATTACTGAGCCTTTACCTCCATGAAGGTAAATTCTTACACCCTTTACAATTTTTAGACAGCAATAAAAAAATATTTAGTAAAATAGAATGCTTGAAACACGACAAACATTTGTTTTTGTGTCGAAGAATGAATAAGTTAACTTCTTTATCAAAATATTTTTCTTTAAGCATTGAACAATTTGAAATATTCGGGTAAACTGTATTGCTATAAATTTTCAAACAGGTAAAATAAATAAATCGGAAAACACATGAAAAGCACAAAAAATGAGATTAAAAAGTTAATTAAAAATTGATTGAGCCAGCTACAACAATTGCACATTTTTAAAAATTTTATTTCATTGTTTGTCCCTTATTATTCGTTATTCAATTAATTTGAGTTTCAATCTAACACGATTATCTATATCATATATATGTATACTTTGCTTGTCTGTTTGTTTGTTTGTTTCCAAAAAACGTCAAAACGGCTGAATAGATTGGGTCCATATTTTTGTGGCAACTTGCGTGACCCCAGAGAAGGTTTATGAATGATCAAAATTTCAAAAATTTGTGTTAAAATTTTTGTAAAATTTTGAAAATGCGCGAAAAAATAATATGAAATGCTATTCTATTCTAATGTTTTTTTTTACACTGTACAAAGAGAACAGCACACAGATAAAGCAACAATTAAAAGTTGAAGAGCCTAGTAATACTTAGCTTGTCTGTTTGTCTGTCAGTTTGCATCCAATAAACGTCACAGCTGAACAGATCGGGCCCAATTTTTTTGTGGGACCTCACGTGACCCCAGATAAGGTTCATGAATGATCAAAATTAAAATTTTTGCCTCCAACAGAATTGGAATGTCATAAAATTTTGAAAATCTACGAACATTTTGTTTTGCTTTTGATTTAAAATATACACAAAGAGAAAATGTTCACAATTGAAATAGAAGATGGGCGCGAAGCACCCCAAAAGCCAAGTATGTTAACTTTGTAAAAAAAACCACCAAGCGTGCAAATCAGTGACTCGAGTTTCTTTTTTATTTATGATGACTCATGGTCATTATTTTGGATAATCGTAAGTCTTAACATAATTTACATAAAAGTTATTACGTTATATGTAAGTTTAGTTATTTCAATCTAATGGTTTAGAGATCAGATTAAAACCAAAAATCACGAAACTAGATAAAAAAATCTTAAACTTATGTGTTTCTGAACAGAGTTGAGAATTTTTTAATAGCGACAAATAGGTAAAGTAGTAGAACTAGCTATAGCTGAAGTTATACTTCTCTTATGTTGGTATCGGCACACGGCATAAAGAAATTCCGCGACTTCTGGTTCAATAAATTAAAAAAGGTAAAAGTTCCCTAAAGTCGGTAACTTTTGAATTATTCTAACTCTAAACCGAATGAGCGGTTAATCTACTAAGATAATTTGACCGACCTGGAACAACGAATGCCTTTCCTGTCCTTGTCTAGTATTTTTAACCATTATTGCTTACTTAGACATGGTAATACGTGAAACATGAACTTTACGCAAAAACTTCGCAAGCTTCCTCAGAGTACAGATTATAAGATGATAGGTAATCATAAACAATAAACATTGTTTCTCGTTCAACTGGAAAACCGGAATCTGAAGAAAAAATCCAATTACAGTTTTGCACAGTAAATAATAAAATGTAATAATAAGACTAGAGGTTTTGTTTAGTTAGACGACCATGTTTCCGTTATGCAATGTGGGGTTTCAATTCACTCTGCATTCAGGTTTTTCAGCCCGGATCTAAAAGTTTCAGTATTTTTAACCAAATTGATTCGGATTGAAAAATGTGTTCCTACAAATTTAATTTATCTAAGCAACTAAGCAAGCAACTAAGCAAGCAATTATCCAACCAACTATCCTACAAACCAAGCAACCACATAATCAAACTCCCATACAAAACCTTCAAATCAGCCATCAAAGCAAGACACCAACCTACTAACCATCCTCTCAATCTCCTAACTAACCAATCAACCAACCAAGTACCTCTACTGAAGACAGGTTTGATGTTCCATCGTCTCCACCTATAACGTAGAGCACACCGTTGTGAGCTATTACACCAGCGTTTCTTCGAGAATAATTCATTTCAGCCACCGGGGCCCATCTTAAGACATAAAACATGTTAATTACATTTCAGCCACCGGGGCCATCTTAATCATAATAAATGTTAATTACATTTCAGCCACCGGGGCCTATCTTAATCATAATACATGTTAATTACATTTCAGCCACCGGGGCCCATCTTAATCATAATACATGTTAATTACATTTCAGCCACCGGGGCCCATCTTAATCATAATACATGCTAATTACATTTCAGCCACCGGGGCCCATCTTAAGACATAAAACATGTTAATTACATTTCAGCCACCGGGGCCCATCTTAATCATAATAAATGTTAATTACATTTCAGCCACCGGGGCCCATCTTAATCATAATACATGTTAATTACATTTTAGCCACCGGGGCCCATCTTAATCATAAAACATGTTAATTACATTTCAGCCACCGGGGCCCATCTAAATCATAATACATGTTAACTACATTTCAGCCACCGGGGCCCATCTTAATCATAATACATGCTAATTACATTTCAGCCACCGGGGCCCATCTTAAGACATAAAACATTTTAATTACATTTCAGCCACCGGGGCCCATCTAAATCATAATAAATTTTAATTACATTTCAGCCACCGGGGCCCATCTTAATCATAAAACATGTTAGTAACATTTCAGCCACCGGGGCTCATCTAAATCATAAAACATGTTAATTACATTTCAGACACCGGGGCCCATCTGAATCATAATGCATGTTAATTACATTTCAGCCACCGGGGCCCATCTTAATCATAATACATGTTAATTACATTTCAGCCACCGGGGCCCATCTTAAGAATTAAAACATGTTAATTACATTTCAGTAACCGGGGCCCATCTAAATCACAATACATTTTAATTACATTTCAGCCACCGGGGCCCATCTAAATCATAAAACATGTTAATTACATTTCAGACTCCGGGGCCCATCTGAATCATAATACATGTTAATTACATACATTTTAAAGTGACTGAAATCTATTTCCTGATAAACCCCCAATTCAAGTTATACCATTTTCACAATGGTCCCTTTTTCACTTTTATCTAATTGACCATGAAAGAGAATACTTTTTTGGGGTTTTTTTAAAAGTTTAGACTTCGCTCCATGACCTTATTCCTCTTTGCACCATAAATCCACTAAGAGCTTTAAAAAAGTGTGAACACAATATCTGACTGAAAGAGACTACTTTAAAAAATGGAGTCACTTATAATACGTCAACATTCTTTAACAATAATTATCTATTTTTTCATTTAACCCTTGCAACCCCCTCATCCTAGTCCTAACATCAAATAGATTAAATATATTATTAAAATTGAACAGAGAGAGTTGTAAGGAAAGAAAACTTAGCAATTTAATTGTACGGAACCTGGTTTAAAGTTTAAAATGAGAAGCTTTATTACAATTTATTTCGCTGCACACCCTCCCTAACTCAACCAGTGAAGATAAAAATTAATCTTAAAGAATAAAAATAACAATAGGAAACCCTTAATTGTTAAAGTGTGGAAAATGTCTACTAATAACTCGTATTATTTCCTAATCGGAGGATAATTAAATTAGAAAAGAAACCACTTAGCTGAGTGTTCAATTAATCTATTTAACCTCTTAACTTGCTACTTTTAATTTACAGTTTTAATCTGAATTACAGAAAACATGTTAAATTTGCTCACGCTCTATCAGAGCTGAAAACTTTTGAATGGAATATCCTTAATCCCGATCGGTTAATTAATCTTGAGATTAATAACAAGAGGAGAACAAGCATTATTTAATTCAAGATTAAGAGAAAGAGGAGATCAAGCATTAATCTCGATATCCACCATTCTTAAATTTTCAGCTCCGTTAAATTAATAAGACACAACTTTATTGGCTGTAATTTTAAGATGGATCACTATAAACCTTTAGTCTCGTCCAATATAAGCTATCCACCTTTTGTAGAAATGGACATCGATTTGAAAACGATTGTTTATAGTGGTTAAAACGACAAACAATATTCAAAAGTTTTTTCAATTTCGCTAAAATTAAATCCAAAGTTTCAAAAATGATTTCCATAGAATATTTTTCGTTTTGATTTTTGTGTCATTGTCGCTATAACGAAAAGTTCAAAATAATTTTTTAACAAAATTTCGAAAAAGACGATTTTTATCGGGAAACTAATTTTTCGCTATAAAAATCGACCTATACATTTTAGAATATCACAATCAAATTAAGAACATTCCCGTGGTTCTCCCGAGGTCCCAATCAAAATTTAAGTAAAATCGGCCAAGGTGTTCCTGAGTTATGATCGGACAAACAGAGATTACAACTTTATATGTATAGATACCTGTTAGTATCCGGATTATAGCATTCTACTGAGTTCCTGACAACCGGACCATCATGACCACCAACACTAGGAAATAAAACTTTTTCTTTCAATGTTTGATTAGAAGGGCTGTCGTTGTCAATTCACAACGGCACTCTTTTAACCTTCTCGGATAAATAATGTGGACAATATCGTCGTTTTTCTTAATTCACAAGTCATATTAAGAGTACCGTTGAAAATCGGACATGCCATTTTTATTGGATGGACGTTAGGAATTATAAGCTATACCGTTCCTTTTAAATAGCTTTTATTTTATTCTGATTGTTGAAACCTTTAGATATCATTAGAGAACATGAACAAGCCTCAAAGTAATGATAATAAAAAATGCTGTGAACCCTTAATCTGAAGTGATAAGGCTTGAGCTCCCGTGATGGTTAAAGAGTCCCGTGGGTGCGATATCATGGAACGAAAGTTCCAAACCAAGCTCATGGTTCAAACCTGACATCGCGTGTCAGGGTTTGTTTCCAAATTGTTCAAACGTTGAAAAGTATTATTATATCAAAGTGAAATCTATCATAATCATAAAAAACATGTCTTGCGCCATAAAAAAAGTTTTTGCTATGAAAATGAAACCAAGGTTAAAATTTATTCATTAACATTTAAAAAATTAAGGTTAAGGTTGAAAAAATGTCTTTCTTCTGAATATTTTGGAGAATTATAATTGCTAATTACCTGTAAAGAAGCCCGTTCAGTACACCAACCCCGGCCCCTGACCGCCGGGCAAACATATCGGTCACAGGACACCAAATATCCTGCTCAGGGTTGTACACCTTAAACAATCAATCAATCAGTCAATCAGTCAAATAATCAATCAATCAATCGATCGATCAATAAATCTGTCAATCAATCAATCAACCAATCAATTGATTAATCAAACATTTAATAAAATCCAACATTTAATTTATGATTTATTGAATTAATAAATCGATAAACAAAAAGATCAATGAAAAAATAATACAGTCAATGAACAAAAGAACCACTAATAAGGTAATTGATAAATAATTAAAAATATGAAAAAAAGGTCACAGAAATAAATGAATATAAATCATTAATCATTAATCAAATGACCAAATAACTTAAAAGTATGACATTTATCTAAAAAATTTAAACTAAGCTTAAAGAAAATCTATGAATATGTGCAAACACGAAAAAATGAGTCTTCTCATAAATAATTATGTAATAAGTAAAGAAATCTTAGAAATAAAAAAACGATCATCTAATCAGATAACAATTCTTTCTTTAATTCGAAAGATATCATCTCAGTGTGGCCTAGACAAAGAGAATAGAACATATATTAGAGAGGAATTTACTAGAAAAAAGTGTAAAACGACCATTTTGTTGTACTGTTTCCGTACTGCAGGTGTACTTCACATATTTGTGCTATATAAACTTTTGGGCCCTGGAACATCAATTTATAGAAAATCTAAAATTAATATTAAAAGAAAACCAAATTATGAAATAGACTGGTTTCATAATTGACCAATGATCATTTCACATAAACTCTATGCCTTTCACTTTACAAACGATGATTTTCCGTTATAACTGTAAATCAAATTATGTTTTTTATTCACCTAATTTATTTTATAAAGTTTATTTAACAGCTTTAAAAAATTCAAAATTGAAATGGATAGTCTAGGGAACATACTGTATTTATGTACTCTACTGCATATAATTTGTGAACATTTACATGAATTGAACACTTTGAACTCCCTTACAGGCTGAAAGGGACTGACAAAATTCATACGGAGGGATTGACTAAATTCATCTCTAATATATATTCTATTCTCTTTGGGCCTAGACGTTAGGTTTACCTCTACACTTGAGAGGCATTGTCTGGAGTTTCCATCATATCCTCCTAAACAATTATAAGGGTTTAAATGTAACCTAAGTCGTCGGCACATACATCAATACAGTATTAGTTACCGAAATGATTATTTAATATTTCAGTATCTGATAATTCACCGACCACTCATTCTTATATGTAACATTTCAGTACCGGATATTGTATTGACATGGACGTCACCCTCTATAGTATATCGCCACTTCAGAAAAATATATATGCTGACCAGTGACCACACCACGGTAGGTAAAAAAGGGGGATTTTATTCTAGATTTGTTTTGACGCATTGCTGCTTTGAAATGAAAAATGGACGTCACCCTATTGAATTCTTCTTACAGGTTCTTTTACTCCTCACTCCTAATGCGTATATAAGACCACCTACTCCTGTATGCCTGCCTACTCTGTATGTAAGACCACCAAGTACTCCTACTCCTGTATGCCTGCCTACTCTGTATGTAAGACCACCAAGTACTCCTACTCCTGTATGCCTGCCTACTCTGTATGTAAGACCACCAAGTGCTCCTACTCCTGTATGCCTGCCTACTCTGTATAGTACTTGTACTTCAGTATTCCTACCTACAGCGTATCTAAGACCATAAAGTACTCCTACTCCAGTATGCCTACCTACTGTGTATATAAGACCACCAAGAACTCCTACTCCAGTATTCCTACCTACAGCGCATATTAGACCACCAAGGACTCTTACCCCAGTATTACCTACTGTGTTTAGGACCACCCAGTACTCCTACCACATTATTCCTTCCTACTGTGTATATAGGACGATCAAGTACTCCTACCCAAGTATTCCTACCTACTGCGTATATAAGACCACTCAGTACTCCTACCCCATTATTCCTACCTACAGCGTATATAAGACCACCAAGTACTCCTACTCAAGTATTCCTACCTACTGCGTATATAAGACCACCAAGGACTCCTACTCCAACAGAACTCCTTCTTGTTGACATTGGAGCAATACTTCGCCACTCATGACTCCCAGTTACAGTCATATCTAACACCTGAATTAAGCATTATCTTTCAATCAATTTTTAAGTGTTCTTTTTTCGGAAAGTGTTCACAAAAATCATAAAATGTAATTTTAGAATTTTGTCAAATAGTGACCGCAAAATTCATCCCTAAGGTATCAGAAGACCTAAACTAACCCCAAAAGAAAGTATTTAATTTAACTTTCAGGGAGAGAGTCTAGCACAAGGAATAATGTAAACTGATTTTCAAAATGATTAGTCATGATACTAATATTTTTTAAAACAATTTTTCCACCTTTAGACGAAAACATTTAAAAACGAGAAAAAATATACCAAGTAATTTTTGATCCACCCTGTAAAAACCTAACCAACATGGCGAAAAAGATTTTTTTTAACCATAGTGATACTTGGGATGAGTCATATTAAGAGTACCGTTGAAAATCGGACATGCCACGTTTTTATTGGATGGACGTTAGGAATTATAAGCTATACCGTTCCTTTTAAATAGCTTGGGGGGGATGAAGGACGAGATCATACCTCTGCTGTATTTAGTCCTGCACTTCCATCAAAACCTCCTACAGCGTAGATAAAATCGTTCAAGACTGCTACTCCCAGGGTTGACCTATGAAATAGATTAACATTCAGTTTTTTTTAACCCAGGGGTGTACTAGCTGTATATTTTCTTTAAAAATATTTTTTTAAAGTTTTTTTCGCCGAATTGGGAAAAATAATTAATATTTTAAATAAAAGGTATCAAAAAGATAGTACAAGCTTTCTAGCTTCTAGCGAAGTGATTTAATTAAAATAAAAAATTCATTTATAATGTTCGTTGTTCGTTCTCAGAATATTTCTCTTTAAATCTTAGAATTTTCATATTTAAGATGTTATGATAATGAAAGAGCTTTGTAAACAAAATATAAAACATTTTTTATTTATTTACTATCTAAACACTGTGTGGGGTAATTACACACTACAAAATTCAGTATTTAAATGTAATTGTTTATCTTTAGATTAAGAATTTTAAATGTAAATGGACACAAAATGTCTGACACCTTGGAATTTTGTATTTTCTCTAAACAAAACAAATTCCCTGGAGAGAAGTAAAAACTAAAAACTACCTTTATATAAAGTTGTAAAATTTAAAAGTTTTCCCTCGGGAAAATTGAGAAATCTAAGAATACAGGGTTACCCGTCCCACATGAGACTGCAAAGACGACTTGGAAAGTCTTAAAACATGACGATTTTAAGGTCAAATTAAGTGGTTTGCCTTAAATATTTTTTTGCTGATTTTCCAAAGAAAGAAACAAGTTAGAGCCGCAAGAAACCAAGAATATATGGAAACAAGCAGCATTAATTCTGCACAGTCGTCTCATTCTCTGTATTAACATACCTTCTAGCTTCCATACTTGCAATACTGGACCAGGTATCATTGGTTGGATCGTACACGTCAACTGTTCTAACCCGCAGGCTACCATTAAACCCACCAACTGCGTACACTCGACCTCTACATAGTGTTGTTAATCGCTTTGAATTGTTTTAATCAAAAATTGATAAATTTTCAAAGCTTTAAAAACTGAATTAGGTTAAATTTTGATTTTTTAAAGTTTGCAATATTTTTAACATAAAATATAAAAAGTGCAAAACGATCCGATCTGCATCGTAAGTAAAACAAACTTTTAGAAAACACAATTCAAAATGTATTTGCTTTTCTTTATTTTTACCCTGAAATAATATATATAGAAAAGACGGCCCAAAAACGAACCAACTGAAGGTACTACCTCTACATTATTAATTTTAAAAAAAAATCAAAAAGAGTGGGAGTATTCACTCCCGCCCACAAATCTTCTAAAATCTCAAAAAGCCTGGAATCTAATCAAGAACTACTTTTCAAATGGTCTAGGGAACAATTTGGCCGATTTGGAGTATAAATAATTCTCACACGATACTGGGAGGATTGAAATAGATTCAAGAGAACCGTAAGACTTCTTTCTCTTTTCAGTAAACCGGAAGTAGACTAACCTGACGACCGCTACACCACATCGACATCTCCTTCCGGGCATCTCGGTCAGATGAATCCATCTTTCTTCTTTCAGGTCATAGCACTCAACCGACCTACAAGTTTTCACAGTAGGTTAAGCCAAGGGGAACATATTTTTCAAGAATTAAATGAGTTTGAAATCCCATCTTAGAAAATATTTGGGTAAAATAAATGGTTTTAAGTTGGAAATAGATAAACTTTTGATGAATAATATCAAATAGTATCAGCCCATCCTGTAAAAAAAATAAACCCCGTGTTAAGGTGAAGTGAACAGAAACATGTGATAGAACAACGAGACACTGATGAGCTCTTGGAACTTTGAAGAACCTTTTTAGATCATTATTGTATAAAGATTTTAATATTATATTATTTAGGTTTTTTGATCGCTCAAAAACTTATAATTCCAGATGAGCGCATATGAAAAATTGGCTTTAAAAATGGCAGGCTGGTCATTCTGCAGATAAAATATCAAGAAAAGGTGGGATATTTTCACACATCCCCAATTCCTAGATCATGAACCCCTGACAACTCTTCAAATAAACTTTTCATCTATAAAAATACACTTTAATTACTCAGTTTGAGTGAAAAAATAGGAACATTTTTCTGAATCGGACATTGTCATCCTTGTTTTGAAGGTCAATTAAAATTACGCTTAAATAGGTAGTTTGATAGTTTGATTTCCTTTTTTGACTAATGACAATTTTAAAATTCGAAATACCTAATAGCTTTTGGGGCTTGGCCACCAATGGCAAGCAAGACCTTCGGGAGACCAACAGGCTGTCTAGGTTTAGTTCTAGGGGAGGTCAATGACATCTGGAGCTTGAGATCACCTTTCAGTAAGTGGAACTTCATCGCTTCAATGATATAATCCTGAATTTTTAATGAATAACTCAAAACTTTGCTTGGTAAATAATGAGAGGGAAACGTTTAAAGTATTTTTTTTACTGAGTTTCAATAGCAAAATTATTTGTTCGAGCAGAGTTTGCAAGTTTGTATCTATTATTATCAGTAGCCATATTTGAAGTCCTATGGCCGTTCCTATGCATATAGAGAATACAGCTTTATTTTAGCAAATCATTGAACTCACAAATATTCAAGTTTTCCCGAGTATATTTCGAACACATTTTTTTTGTAAAATTGTTATACCTCTTGTTTACTTTTTAAAACCCCTTACCAAGCTTTAACACAATATTTCCGATGGGGACGAAACATACAATTATATTGTAAAAGAAGAGTTTCTTTAGGCAGAATTTCCCTAGTTGTAGAAATAATATGATATGCATATGCACGTTTAGATCTAGTTTTGTGCTAATATGGAATTCCCAGGTTAGGTTTTTATCAATGTTTAAACAATTTTATTTCAAAAGTTGACCCCATTCTTTGCAGCTTAAATTCATTAATTTTAAAGCTTACTTCAGCTAGATTTACTAAACATCTTTAAGCTTAAAACTCATGTATTTAGTTTTTGATAACTCTAAGGGAAGCAAAACTTGCCGGTCAGAGAGCTTCAAAAACGCCCAAATCATCTCTTGAACACCGAGAAAAAGGAGAAAACTATCCCACATTTTCACTCTCCAATTTTTACCTAAACCCCCTGAAATTCGCAGATTTTACTGGTCCACAGCCCCCCCTCCTGACTACGCCTTTGTTACTGCAAAATTTTAAAAAGGATAAGTTTTGAAATAGAATATAATCTCCTATTTTCTTGAATTTGGATTTAACAGCTTAAATTTAAAACTACGACTGAAATGGACAAGAAAAAAATCGCGGCCCCAAGAAAAATATATTTAAAATCCGTTGAAAATGGGGTTCTCTAATACGGTTAAAAGAGACCTTTTAACTTTCTTTGTAAATTAATGAAGATCAAACAAATAATGGATTTAAATAAAAATTACGCGATAAGAGACTCGAAATAGAAAATACGATAATTTCATTACCTTGCAGACATCATTCGTTTTTAGTAGATTTTCTGTGGTAACTCTCTGTATAAGATATTCCTTATAAATAATTCATGCATAAATATTTTTGAATAAAAATGCGAAGTGAAAATTTTTAAAATGTTAACCCCAAATAACCGTTAAATTGTTTCATTTACTCTAGGAAAAATCAGAACCATGGTAAATTTCCTGAACGTAAATGACGAGGGAAGGGGTGCAGAGCATCCATATACCCCACAAACGGTCATCCCGAGCCTCCTGATTCGCAGAATTGCCTCCTAGTCAATCGAAATCGTCTTTGAGCCTCATGCTACGTCTGACAGGCTCCCCATATCTGTCTTACGTCCTGTAATTCGATATCCAATAACAAATATTTGGTTTTACATCCGCCAAAAGCTTTTTCTGATAAATCTCAACATGTTCATAAAGTTTTTAATGGCGCATGAACAGTTTTTGTTAATAAGTCTACTTTTATTGAGATTAAGATTTCTTATTTTGTTTTTCTAGATTTCACAAATTCCTGAACTTGTGCAGAACTATTGCAGCTTTATATAAAGAAACACAAATTTTATATCATTTCAAAGGTATGTCATGTACGAATCTATCTAGACTACCACTACTACTAAACATAATAGTTTTGGGGAAATACTTAAATTTGTGCTTTTATTGTATTTCATTATTCAATGTTTTGTGAATTGGTGGTAGTCTAGATAGACTTGTACAAGATGCATCTGTGAAATTACATGAAGCTGCAATAGTTCTGCACAAGTTTAGTAATTTGTGAAATTTAGAAAAACAAAATGAGAAGTCATAATCTCAATAAAAATAGACTTTTTAACACAAATTGTTTATATACCATTAAAAACATTATGACCATGTTGAGATTTTTCAAAAAAAAGATTTCAGGGTGGATGTAATTGTAATTTTCAGATATCGAACTACTACACGTGAGACAGAGTTGGGGAGCCTGTCAGACGTAGCGTAAGGCTCGGAGACGATTTGATTGGCTGGTAGTTTGCTAGGAGGCGGTTCTGCGAATCAGGAGACTCCAGAGATCAGTTTGAGGGGCTCATGGATGCTATCCACCTCCTCCCTCAATGACACTCCTTTGTTAGAAGCTGATTTTAACATAGACCTGCATAAATAAGGTATAAGATTAGCGAGATCCAATGAAAATTGTTGCATACCAATAACCAGCTTTTAATCTCGTAAATTTTGTTAACTTTTTTAATCCCGTAAATTTTGTTAACTATGGAGAGCAATAAAATTGACAAAATGTGTACATGTACATGTGTACATGTCAAATGGGACAACCACGATAACTCAGGCAGACTTTAATATTGAGAGGGTACTTTTGTAAGTTGTTCATGATACTTTTCTACAAAAAGTCACTAAAGTTCACCTTGACAATCTCATTAGACTAAAACAGGACTTTAAGCATGATTTCAAGAGTGCTCTGTTGGTAGAGTGGCATGTTTGATTTACATCAGTACCCTGATAGCTTTGAATGATCCAAGGATGATGGATTTATTCTCATTTATATACCAAAACGCTAATAATTGTTGGATCACTTTGTTTGTAAGCTGTTTTAATATAAAAGAAATAATAATATTTACTTTCCATAAAAATTTACACTGAAAATTTTTGAAAACCGCGTTGGACAAAGACTATTCTGAATTTTCGAGGAATATACGTTCACACTTTACGCCAGAATACACTCCAGTTTTTCCGTAATTTGAACGCCATTTTAGAGATAGAAAGAAGTAGCTCTTCTGCCCTCGATTATCAGTTAATGGGTTAAAGGGCGTCTAGTGGTAAATTGGAAATTCTCCTCGTTGCGTGGTTGGGTGGAGGGTTACTTTAAATTCCGCGTACAATCCCTTTAATGAAGGGACCTAGTACCTGGGCAAGAAGGGGAAGCCTGACATGTTCCATTAGAACAGAAAGGAACTGAGATCTAAACAGAGTTCAGAATAAAGGAACTGAGATCTAAACAGAGTTCAGAATAAAGAAACCTGATTACTTGCTTCAAATTCTTATTTTCCCATTCTTATATCTTTGCAGTCTGATGCTGCAAACCATTGTAATTTTAAACAATGAAAAAAATACTATTTAGACCGTCAGATTTTTTCAAAAAGATGCAAAAATTTGAATTTGTGGAGAGTAATTAGTTCCTTTCTAAATCAAATCAAATCAAAGAAAAAAGGGTGACGCGTTCTCAAATTCCGCGTAATGACTTGACAATAAAACTCATAAAAAATGTTGTTTTTTTGTTTTAAACAAAATAAATATTGAATAGAAAGGTGAAATATAAATAGTAGAGAAAAAATCTTTTAGTTTGTAACTTATTTTACATTTAAGAAACATCCAGAGTCCACTAACAAAAGAGCACCTAGATTTAGCTTAACACTGTCTATTAACGGTACAGTACCTGGAGTTAAGAATAACTTACCATACTATAAACAGTACCTGGAGTCTGGTTCGAATTGTATCCAGGAAATAACACTTTCAAAAACCTTCTCCTCATTAGGCACTGTAATTGTATCACTGGAGATTAGTTGTGCAACCTGAAATAGTTCTATATTTAATTTTATACAAATAATTTGTTGTTTCAATCCCCCCCCCCCCCCCCTCCTGACAAAAATTGAATACTATTAAAGGGACACTCCAATCATAGAGTGGCACTTCCGGTGAATGAGATATCCATACTTTTTATCCTTGGTTTTATGGTAAGCATACAAACTACATTTCTTTACCGAGTATAACATATATTAATACTGTACGACACGCGTTTAAAATTTATTATTTATATTGTTTAGAATTGCGGGTTCTGTGATAAAGGGTTTATGTCTATGCTGCGGAGACAGAAAAGGAATGTGTCAAAATTACCACTATGAGAACAAAAAGGATGATATCTCTTTTCTTTCTCCCTGAGACAAAGTTTCAAAGGATACCAAATGAGTAGATGGAGGGTCCCTTTTAATAACGTCTATACACTCCCTTTAAAAATAGTACCTGGTCTGCAGATAGACTGAAGAATTCATCACATTCCAACACTTCGGTAAAATGACATTCTAAAAGATAACTTATACAAAAATCTTTTTAAAAAAGAGAAAATGTGTAAATTACAGGGAAAAATAAAGAAGAGAGGGAAAATTTCAGACCCGATCCCCCCCCCCCTTCAGCTGGTTTTGTTAATCCTGACCTATATATGATTCCCCCCCCCTTCAGCTGGTTTTGTTAATCCTGACCTATATATGATTCCACTCCCAGGGTTGACCTATGAAAT